TGCCCACTGCATTCCCAGAGGAGCAGCTTTCTCCTGCCCTGCATTCCCAGAGGAAGAGCAGGCCCATCCACAGCAGCCCTGGAGCTTCAGAGGAAAACTCCAGCCTTAAGCAGGATCCCTGCTCCAGCAGGAGCACAGCTGGCACTGCAGGAGGGCTGAGCCCCCATGGGATGGGACTGTGCCACCGCCCTGACCCACAGGGCTCAGCGCCTGCTCTGACTCTGGCAGAGCTTTGTTTTGTATTACTGCATTTGTATTTTATTTTTATTTTCTTCCCTAATAAAAAACTGTTATTCCTATTCCCTTATCTTTGACTTAATTTCAAAATTACAGTAATTCAGAGGGAGGGGGTTTGCATTTTCCTTTTCAGGGGAGGTTCCTGCCTTCCTTAGCAGACACCTGGCTGTTCAAACCAAGACAGCACAACATAAATCCAGCAGCACCTTCAGCTGCCTGATCACTGAATTACCTCACAGGAGGGAGCACAGGAACTTCCTTGCTGTTCCCAAAGAACAGGAAAATTCCTCCAGCCCCAGAGAGATTCCAGGCCCTGGAGAAAAACCTGGGTGCTCCCTGCACTTCCTGATGCTCTGAATTCTTGGGGTTCACTTCCTCCACCCAGGAAAGGGGGAAACCAACCTGATCCTCCCCAGGAACCCCGGGGGACAGGGAACTGCTCCCATTTATTGGGATTGCAGCCTGATTCCAGGGCCTGGAGGAAAACCACAGCAGTGCCTGGTGCTCCCTGCCCATTCATTAGCAGCAATTACAGGGCGTGAGTGTTACAAATTGCTGCTGAAAGATGTCAGCGAGCTTACAGCCCTGGGTTTAATTGAAAGCACTTTTTAATTTGATTACTAATGGCCCTGTGTTATGATATCAGTGCCCTGCAGGAGGAAACGGCTTCCCCAGAGGAAAAAGAGCTTCCCTCTGCCTTGGGAAGGCTTCCCATGGCTTCAGTACCAACAAGGGAAAAGTGGCCAAGGACTTTTCTTCCATGCCCAAAACCCAATAATTTATAAATTATTTTTCCTGAAGACCTAAAGGAACTTGGGACTTTCGGTGGGGCAACATTTTAGAAATCATTTGGCAGATCTAAAAGAACTTGGGATTTTTGGAACAACATTTTATAACTCATTTTGCCAGAAAATTTAAAGGAACTTAGGACATGGTAGAAAAGTGGAAAGACGGAGTGGGGCATGTGTAAGATTATGAAATTATGGAATAGTTTGGATTGGAAAGAGCCTTTAAAGATCAGCGAGCAGGGACATCCTCAAGGAGACCAGTTTGCTTCCAACACCATCCAAACTGGCCTGGAATATTTCCAGGAATGTGGCATCAGCACCTCTCTGGAAAATCTCCTTTAAGGACAAGGCAGCAAAGGGAAGGGAAAGGATCTCCCTGTGTGCAGCGGGATCATCTCACTCTCCTGCACCCAGACCTCTCCCAGCCCATCCCTGTGGATTTGGGATGTTATAGATACATATTATAATATTGGCTTTTCGCAAATATTAGAATGAATTTTATATGTGTGGTGTTAAATAACTTTGTTATAAAGATGTAATTCTTGTTTCTGTTCTTCATTAAGCTCAGTGAAATAGCTGAAATAAGTATGTGTTATAGATACATAATATAATATTGGCTTTTTGCAAATATTAAAATAGATTTGTATGTGTAGTGTTAAAGTAACTTTGCTATAAAGACATAGTTTTTATTTCTGTTGTTCATTAAGCTCAGTGAAATAGCTGATATCAGTGTGCTTGTGTTAAAATGCCTGCTGGGATGGGTAACACCCAATGAACACAGGATGAGGACGCTGCTACAGATCTGCCAACCATCAGCACTCACCGTCTGAAGGCAGTGTGGGCCAGGGCCCAAAACTGGAGGTGATAAAAAAGGACTAAAACCACAACCAAGGAACTTGCATGCTCTAAAAAGGCAGATCCGAGGAGGAGCTGGGCTGAACAGTTCTTGGAAAATGTAAATTTGTTTGGAGAAAAGTTTACTATGCATAATTGTTTATGAATTTGTAACAGGCTGATGCAATAGAAATGGTAAATAAAGGGGGTTTCCAAAATAGCAGGGGGGCTCTTGGCTGGGTGCCAAGATGCACCCATAAATCTTTGCTCTGTGTCCTTGTCTCCTCTTGTCCTTTATTAAACTTTGTAAATTTTCACAGGAGAGTGAAGGTGTTTTTCACAGGGACATCAGGCTGTGTTTGGCTGTGCAGGAGGGGGTACCCTGGATCTGGGATATTCAGGACTTGCCTTCCAGGGTGAGGTTTTGCCATGCTTTGTTTCCCAGATCAGCCACACTGAGCTGAGGGATTCTCCTCTGCCTCCACCCCGCTGCCCCTGGGCAATCCATTAATGACGCTAATTCGGACATCAGAACCTGGTGACTAATTGACTTCCGGGCTGTTTTTGTTGTTTTAAGGGGATAGGAGAAGGGAGGAAGAAGGATTGTTAATTCGTTTAGTTCTGCTTTATCTGAACCACAATATTCCTCACAGAAACTACTCTGGGCCTGACAATGGACCTTGGCCCTGGAGCACTGGGAGGAAAAATTCCTTTTGTTTTTGTTATTTAAGGCCGATTCTGAGGTTGGGCTCCTTGAGGGGGATTTTCCTGGGTGAGGGGTGACCCAGAGTTTAGCTGGGATTGGGGTTTTAATGAGCAATAACCAGAGAAATCTGAAGATTGCTCCTTGATTGATTGAGAGGATGGATGGGCAGAGAAACTCTGGGAAAAATACCGAGCAAGACATGGATATAAGGGTCTTCTCTCCATAAAAAAACCTCAGGGAAGAAGATCTGCTGTGTCTGCACTCCTGAAAGAAGGAACTGCAGGATTTAGGGAGGATCCAATCCCCCAGTCCAATCCAAACCTCTTGCCTGGAGGTGCTGTGAGGAGCAATGCTCAGGATCAGCCCTTCCCATCCCGAGAATTGGGATTGCAATCCCTGCCCCCAGTAATGGCCCTGCCTGGCTTAGCCTCCCCAGAAAGGGCTGGAAATTGTTTTCTTTCCCCAAAAAATGAGTTTCATGGAAGGTGATGTGTTCAAAGTGGGCTGAGTGCTGGAGGCAAAGATCCAGCCAGGAATTTCTCCCATTTCCTGAAAAATCAGGGAAACAGCTTCACCTGCAGGATAGCAACAGTGAAACCCTCTAATGTGGGCACTTCCATGGCAAGAACTAAAATCAAATCCATCTTCCAGATCTTGAGGCCATTAAATTTTTAGTTTTAGGGCATTTAAATAATAAATAAATAAGCACATATGGAAGTCACCCACAGGAGCTCATTTCCATGATGGTCAAAGCTGGACATAAAAGAAGATTAATCAGTGATTAACCTTATGAGAGGGGGATGAATTCTGATCAGCTGATTGAAGAGAGAGGAAAGTGGAAGAGGACAAAAACAGAATGAAGGATAAGAAAAAAACTGAGAGCCAGAACATGCAGAAATAACTTCTGTCTTGCAGGGTTTTTTTCTGCTCCCATTTTAAAAATATTTAAGATGGAAAGTGATTCCATGTGAGGAAAAGGATTCCTTGGGTGGCAGCAGGGGTGACTTGCTCCTCTGGGAAAGGGGTTCAGAAGGCACCTGTACATCTGAATTTGTTCTAATTTATCAAGAGAAGTGGCTCAGGGACTCTCACAGATGAACTTGGGATAATCCCACAAATGATCACAACAGGATCTGCTCCTGTCGTGACACAAATGTGAAACATCTACAATTTACATGTAAAAATAGACAAGAACTCATCCCAAGAAGTTCAGGAGCCAGAGGGGTTACCTTGGATCTGGGATATTCAGAATTTGCCTGCCAGGGTGAGGTTGGGCCATCAGGAGCTGCCTGCAGCCCTTGACTCAGGGCTTGACTCATCCCCTCATCTCAGGAGTGAAAAGAATGATTTTTATTGTAAAAGAGGCTGTGTTTGGAGAGAAGGGTCTGCCTTTCTCTCTGGACCCATTTCTTCCCTTTCACAGAGATAAGAGGAGGTGACATGAGATGATTTCCTCCCACTAATGAGCCTTTGGGGAGGTGCTGTTGTCAGGCAACCTCCTCAGCACTCACACAAAGGATGACACTGGCTTCCCAAATTTCCAGCAAACTTTTAATATTCCCCCAAAACCAAAACACATCTGCTCTGGTGACACTTCTGAACAGGCCAAGTCGCCCTGAAAAGCTTTTCTCATGTAGTCTCAAGTATAAATATTTTGATACAAAAAATAAAACCCCACAAAGAAACCCATAAACCCCATAAACCTCCCCCGAGGCATCCGGCAGTGCCGTGGGGATCCGTGGCCAGGTACAGCTGCAGGGACAGGCAGCCTGAGGTGCTCCCAGCCCCATTCCCAGGGAATCCGGGAGCAGCAGAGTCTGCAGGGTCTGGGGTGAGCCTGGGAGGGCGCAGGGACCGAGGCTCTGATTCCAGGGCAGCTCCAGCAGCATTCCCGGGCTGGGGGATGGATTTGAGCTCCAGCTGAGGTTGTGGGGACACAGCAGGGCACATCTGGCTGGTGGCAGAGCCACAGAAGGTCCCTGAACTGGTCAGGGTCACCCAGAGCAGGGCACATCTCCTGGCTGGTGGCACTCAGGGCCACAGAAGGTCCCCTGCACGACACCCAGAGCAGGCTCAGCCCAGGCACTGGGACACTGCCACCATTCCCTGCTGGGAAAGCTGTTCCCGTTCCAGCTCCACAGCTCGGGATGAGCCCAGGCTCATCAGCCTGGCCCAGCCTGCCTGCAGAGCATGCTCAGGATCAGGACTAAACCTCACCTAATTACTGACAACAACCAGGAGCTCAGCTTTGGCCTTCACACCCAGCAGCTGAGGGTTAGTCTAAGTCACTCCGACTTTTAAATTAAATTATCTCATGCATAGAAACAAAAGCTGCAGCAGAGGATTCACAGAACTCATCATCAAGTACTCAGTAACACATTGTATATATATTAAGCTTTAAATAAAAAAAATCTTTCAAGGTTTTTGTTTCTTTTTTTGAATATATGCACTCTATAGGATGCAGCAAACTCGAGCCTGGTCTAACTCTCAGTCACACCCTGTGCTCTGCCCTTTATACAAAGTCTGCTCTACTGTAATAATTCTTCCTTTTAAACAAATGCAGGTAGCCTAGACCTTAATAAAAGCTGCCCAGAGCCCTGGGGCTGAGCTGCCCTCCCTGAAAAATGGAGCAGTTCTGGTTCTGTTACTTTGGGAAGGAGGTGAAAAACTGCTGGAGTGGGGTTTTAGATGATCTTGTTCTCCAGGGCTTCGATTCTTTTGGCCACAGCTTCCAGTGAGGAGGAGTTAAGGAGGAAAAACGGCAATTTTTTCTGGGAATGTTGGGAGGGAGACTTTTTATGTGGGCACAGAGTGATGGGCCAAGGTTTTAACTCAAACAGGAGAGATTCAGACGGGATTTAGATGGGAAGGAATTATTTCCTGGGAGGGTGGGGAGGGGCTGGGCTGGAATTGCCAGAGCAGCTGTGGCTGCCCCTGGATCCCTGGCAGTGCCCCAGGCCAGGCTGGAGCACCTGGGACAGTGGGAGGTGTCCCTGCCATGATGCCCTGTCCCAGGCTGGCAGCACAGGTAGGGATGGGAGCAGGGGCAGAGGGGATCCGTGCCCATCCCCTCTGGTGTTCCCAGAGCTCTCAGGCTGACGGAGCTCGCCCCAGGAAGGAGCTGTCTGTGCTCACACATCCTCCCACTGCCACGGGCTCACTCTCAGAGGAGGAGGGAAAGGAGGTGCTGACAGAGCCCCTGACCCTGAGGAGAAGAGCAAGAGCTTTTCCTGGCGTTCCAGAGCAATTTTCTGCTCTTCTTGCTAATTCCTGTTGATGGTGTGCCTGGGAGAGCCACCCACCAGGTGGGAGCTGTGACTTCCCATGTCCTCTGCACCACACAGGTCACAGATCTCACCCAGCTTGGCTCCGGGAGGAGGAGCAGAACTGTGCCACAGCAGGGCCCAGAATGTGTGAAGAAATCAGAATGTTCCTTTTAAAATTAGATCCTTTCCTGTTCCTCAGTGGTGAGACATCTCCCCTGCCCTCGTGAGCCACCCCAAGGCTCCATGAATTCAGTTTTTCAGAAGTTTTAATCCTACTCACAAGTTTGTTTAAAATTTTTTTTCTCTTTCTTCCACTTAGTGAAAGGCCCAGCATGGCAGAACTCCGTCCCACCAGGTGGGTTCTGATGGGATCCAACTCACCTGGCTGGAGATGCTTCCAGGGAACAGTTCCATCAGGATTTATCTCCCAGCACTGAGTTTTGGCCAGCTCAGTTTTATGTCACTGGGATGGGTGGATGTGTCCACCTGGATTATCCACACCACCCACCTACAGTCTGAGGTGTTCTGATGTCCCTCTGTCCCTGCAGTCCATGGAGAATTTGGGCAGTGCTGGATGTTTGCCCTGAAGGAACCCCCTGCCTCCCGTTCCAGCTGCCTCAGGACCTGCAGCCCCATCTCCCCACAATCCCAGAATCCCAGAGCTTGGAAAACCCTCCAGGGCCATCAAGTCCAACTTTCAACCAACCCCCACGTTGTCACCAGCCCGGAGCTCTGAGTGCCACATTTGACCCCCCAGGTGCCTCATTCCCACCTTCCTGAGCCCCACCCTACTCCCTCCCCCAGGAACCGACCTTCCCCATGGTCCCTGTGGAAATCCCAGCCCAACCCACCCAATCCTGGCCAAACTTCCAAAGGATATGTTTCTGCTGCAAGGAATTGATGAGCTCTTCTACTTTGGTCTGGAACTTCACAATGGATTTGCACTCACATGGATCTTCCTCTGTGGGTCACAACAGCAAGAGGATGAGTGGCACAAAAAATTCATTTAATCAAAATCCCTGAGCCCAGTGAAACAGCAAAATTCTTATTTTCTATGTCAGAAACAGGAAGAAAAACAAAATATAATTATTTCTAATTATCTGATTGATCTCTTCTAGCTTTAACCTCAGGTGAACAGCGAATGTCACATTTTTCTGTTATTTCAGCTATGGGAAGACTTTCCTGGGTTTCCATCTCTCTGGAAACCCATCAAGCTCTGCTCCTGATGCTTCAGGTTCGCCCTGAAATTGGAGTCTGACCAAATAAAACCAACCTCTGTCTCCCCAACAAGATCCAATAAAAACTGGAGGCACTGCTGCCATCAAGACTGGTTTGAGCTTTGCTTCAGTAACTCCAGTCCTTGAGGGGGTGGAACCATGAGCGTTAATCACTTTGCTAATTTATGTCACTAATTTACATCTGTTCTTCAAGGAAAATTAACTCAGACTAGAACAGGAAGAAAGAGATGACTGGGAAAGAAAGGAAGGGGTTACAAGGCCACTCTGAGCTGAGCAAAGGAGGAGTAAATAAAAGACAGAATTTTTTAAGGAAATGAATCACTTGCACCAAAACTCAACAGGTTTAAACCAGCCAGGTGTAACCTAAAGCTGGAGATTAACAGAAGATGTGAAGGCAGCTGTTGAGAGGCACAAGCTGGCACTGGGAATGAAAAAAAATGCAAATATCTCCTTGCCTTCCTTTTATTTTTAATACTCAAATGTAAACATATTTACCCAAATTGATATTTTATAAACAAACAGTTTTTCTGAAATTTACTTTTTTTTTTTTTTTTTTTTTTTTGAAGGCTCAAGCTTAAATGTATTTGAATGATTTTTAAGTACAGTTTGTTGGGTGTTTCATATAGATCCCATCCTCTTGTTCTTGGATTGATCCTAATTTCTTAATGAGACTTTTCAAAGAGTCTCTGCCTTGCAATCCTGGCTCTGCAGACATGGGGATTATCCCTCTCCAACTTCTCCAGGAGGAAAGGAAATCCCGTCTTAAGGAACCTGGAGACAAATTCATTATTTCTGAAGAAAAAGAAGGGCAGAAAGGTGGAGGAAAAAGGAAGGAGAAGGGGATTTGGCAGAGGGGGACACGGCTGAAGTGTGGGAGTTGCTTTGCCTCAGGTAACCACCCAAAATACCAATGTCTTCTGGTCCTCCCGTGTGTTCTGCCAGCTCCACACACTGGGAACAGGAGAGTTTATCACATCCACCTAAAAGTGCATTTTCATCCCTTTACTCCAGGCTGCAAATGCTGTGACTGAATCCCTCCATTCCCAGTCCCCCTCCCACCAGCACAGATCTTCAACTGCAGCTTCTCCAAGGGCATTTCCACCCCTCCAGTCCAGCCCTGAACACCGACTGAACCCCTCCATCCCATCTGTGACAGATGAGCAGTGCCATGGGTGACTCTCACAATTAAAAGGCAAATATCCTGTATCTATGTCAGGAGAAGTTTTACAGATTCATAGTTATGTGTTACCCCCCTGTGTTGTTCTCAGGGGTGCCCTGGGGTTGGGACATTTGGGAGGGTGGGCTCGTTGCCATGGCAACAGCTGCCCCCCAATCAAGGTGTCAGGCAGTGATCTCAGCACTGGGCAGGGAAGGAGGAGTCGATGGACAGAACTTTGGGAGGGGCCAAAGGGTTAAAAGGGGAAACCTCCATGGTGTGGGTGAGCACATGGTGGGGAAATCCTCTGCTCCTGGCGCTGTAATATTTTCTCTATTCAGTCTTCTGTTGTATTTTTCATAAGGTTTAATAAACCTTTTACATTTTTGGAAGTGAGTAGCATTTCTCACACGAGTCCTCTCTCACCAACACAGATCGAGGATCTGCAGCTTCTCCAAGGGCATTTCCATCCCTCCACTCCAGCCTTGACTGAACCCCTCCATCCCCAATCCCTCTCACCAGCGCAGATGTCCATTTACAGTTTCTCCAAGAGCATTTTCATCCCTCTGCTCCATCCCAATCCCTCTCACCAACACAGACTGACGATCTGCAGCTTCTCCAAGGGCATTTTCATCTCTCCACTCCAGTCTTCAAACACTGGGACAAAACCCCTCCATCCCAGCCCCCTCCCACCAACACAGATCTTCACCTGGCGGTTTCTGGAGGGGCATTTCCCCCCCTCTGCTCCACCCTTCAGATGCTGTGGCTGAACCCCAGTCCCCTCTCACCAACACAGATCTTCATCTGCAGCTTCTTCCCGATCTTGCTGATGGTCCTGAAGTCGGCAGTGTAGAAATAATGCTCAGCCACGGGTTCTGAGGCGATCTCCCTCAGCTCGTCCTCCACGGCATTGCCCACTCCCACGGCAAACATCCGAAATCCTGCCGGGAACGGGATCCTGTCAGCAGCCCGGAGCTGGCATGGTGTCACACTGAGAATTATCCCCTCCACCCCCACTATTCCAGACTCCTTTCAGTCAGGTCAAATAGGGTGAAAATAATTTTACAGGCAGAGATTTTATTAAAATTTACCAGACCATGGGCATTGTGGCCGCAAGAACAAGGTTTTGGAAATGCTCCTTTCAGCCAGTTCAAACAGGGGCCAAAATATTTTTGTGGGTAGAGTTTAAGTAGAATTTCCCAGCCAATGAAAACATGAACGAGGTTTTGGAGATGCAAGAAAGGACAGGTGATGGTAACACCATTCCACTGATGTGGAAGTGATAATGTAGCAAAAAGGAACTGTGGGATTTTCCAGAACAGGCTCAGCCACTGTTACCACCCTGCCAGGCTGGACATCCTCATCCACCCCCTGTGCCCCCAGGCCCCACACAGCTCCAGATCCTGACTGAGAATTACCCCCTCCACCCCCACTATTCCAGACTCCTTTCAGTCAGGTCAAATAGGGTGAAAATAATTTTACAGGCAGAGATTTTATTAAAATTTACCAGACCATGGGCATTGTGGCTGCAAGAACAAGGTTTTGGAGATGCTCCTTTCAGCCAGTTCAAACAGGGGCCAAAATATTTTTGTGGGTAGAGTTTAAGTAGAATTTCCCAGCCAATGAAAACATGAACGAGGTTTTGGAGATGCAAGAAAGGACAGGTGATGGTAACACCATTCCACTGATGTGGAAGTGATAATGTAGCAAAAAGGAACTGTGGGATTTTCCAGAACAGGCTCAGCCACTGTTAGTCAACGCCTGTTAATGAGTCCCTGAGTGGCAAAGTCCCCCTGCAGTGGAGACCTGGGGTCAGCAGGTCTAAAATTGCGGCCCCCACTGGGAGTTCAGAACTTGCCCAGGGATTGTCCTGCTCTGTCAGGAGATTGATCTTCATTAAATGAACTGAAATGCAATTTTCCCATTTTGGGTGGTATTAATTAGCCCTGATTCGAACTTGTCTCTACTTGTCCATGCCCAGGCACTGGAAATGTTTCCCTGCTCCCCTTTGTGCCTTTCTTTCTCTGGATATATCCAATATGTGTTGTTTTCCCAAGGCTCAGCTCACTGAACAATTCTGCAGTCTCATTTTAAGCACTTGTTTATCCCGCAGCAATAAGTCATGGACAGATAAGAGATTTCCTTGCAGGGACAAGAGAGGAGAGAGAGACAAGGCACAAAGTTTTATCACCAGGGAGGAATAAATTCTATAAATACACTTTATAAGAACCTTTTGTTTTATAAGAGCTGAACAGCCCCATAAGATGTCAGAGTGCTTTGTAAACATTGGTTTTTCACGAGCTCCCTGACCTTTCTGGTTATGTGCTGGCCCCGAGTCCCATCTAGTGGTGGAGAGTGAAGTTAAAAGGAAGGGAAGGATTCAGCAATTCCTGACTGAATTCCCAGGGGCTGGATCCATTTAACACAGGGGTGTCAGAGACTGGGAATGTGCTCAGCAGGTCAGCAGAGGGGCAGCTCTCGAGGCATTGATATTTCATGGGGCTCAGGCACAGGAATCCATCAGTGTGTGGCCACTGAATGCTTTTCCTACAACAGCAGCAGAGGAAAGCTCCTTATTAATGTGCCTGGGGTTCCTCCTTAACCCACGTATGGGCTTTGTTTATTGTTTTATTGCTGTTTCTTTTCCTTTTCCAGGCCTTGAGGCTGATGCAGCCGAGCCACACTTGGCCCCACAAATCCTGGGGTTTGTTTTCTTTGCCCCCGTGTACCTCTGGTGCTGGGCTGGGCTTCCTGACCAACTCCAGACAAATCCCAGAGTGGATAAGTGTTGGGTTAGGAGGGACCTTAAAGCTCCTCTTGCTCTGCCATCTTCCACAATCCCAGCTTGCTCCAAGCCCTGTCCAACCCTAAAGGTGCTGAAACGGCCTAATTCTAAATTCTACCTGCAGCTTCCTTCCACATTTGTGTGGAGCAATTAGACCTGGGTGCATCCCATTCCAGGGGGTGGAACTCCATCCTGTCCATCTTATTCCAGGGGATAAAACTCCACCCTGTCCATCCCATTCCAAGGGGTGGAACGCCACCCTGTCCATCCCATTCCAGGGGGTGGAACTCTACCCTGTCCATCCCATTCCATAGGGTAAAACTCCACCCTGTCCATCCCATTCCAGGGGGTGGAACTCTACCCTGTCCATCCCATTCCAGGGTAAAACTCGCTCCTGTCCATCTTATTCCAGGGGGTAAATCTCCATTCTGTCCATCCTGTTACACAGGGTAAAACTCCATCCTATCCATCCCATTCCAAGGGCATGGAGCTCCACCCTGGCCAGCAGAAACTCCTCCAAAGACAGAGAGGGGAACTAAAACCAGCTCTTGGCAAGCCAAAGTGCACCTGACACCCAGACTGAGGTGTTCCAAGCTCCCTGTGAGCAAGGATAGTCAGGGAATATCTCCCCAGAATTACTGAGTACAACCTGTGTATATCCTAAGAGACAGATCCAGAGAAAAAGTCCTGCCTGGGCCAAGGGAGAAAGAAGCCCCAGGGAGTTCAGGAGTCCTACCTGAGTCCTTGGCTTTCTTGGCAGCATCTGAGATGTAATCCTGTGAGCGCCCATCAGTGAAGACAATCCCCACCTTGGGGACCCCAGGCCGGGCTCCGTTGATGACGGAGAAGGAGCTGTCAACAAGGTACTTCAGAGCCTGGCCTGTCATGGTCCCCTTCTCCATGTAGGACATTTTCTTCACTGCTGCTTTGATGTCCTTCTTGCTCTTGAACTGCCCCAGGGGGAACTCCTGCCGGACAGAGCTGGAGTACTGCACCAGCCCGACCTGGGCCTGTTTGTCCGACACCTCCAGTGAATCCACGATTTGGTTGATGAATTTCTTCACCAGCTCGAAGTTCTCAGGCCTCACACTCTTGGAGCCATCAATGAGGAACACAAGATCCAGAGCAGACCCCAAGCCACCATTGCAAGCTGAGTGAAAACATGAGAAGAGGGCAGAACAAAACAGCAGCTAAGACCTCAGTAAATGATGTAGGAAAATAGAACCCTAATGCCATTTATTACTGAGGAAATGGGGTTAATGAATGAAAACCCAACAGGAGAGCACAACAATGTTTTGAAAATGATTCTGGCTGGTCAGAGCAGAGTTTCCCTTTCTACCTTCTCTGATCAGAACATCCCAGTGCTGTCACCACCATGCTCTCAGGGACCCCTCACGTACCGGTGCAGGTCTTGCCGTCACTGTTGAGGCTGAAGCCGTCCCTGCAGGCACACCTGTAGGCCCCCGGGGTGCTGACACACACCTGCTCGCAGTCGTGGTCCCCCGTGGCACACAGGTCAGACACCACTGCAAGGAGAGGAGGGGGTGGCTTCAAGCAGGGGCCAGCCCGAGGCCTTCCCGCCCACACCCAGCTCTGCACAGCCCCACACTGACCCCATAATTAAATCTGCTTTGCAGTGGGACACAGCTCATTGATCCTTGACAGTGGCTGAGGCATTGTCTTAGGTTGGAAATGGGGGTGTGTGTTTCTCTGCTGTCCTCTGGGCAGGTTTCTTTATCTCTCCCACAGCCAATCCTCCCTCCAGGAGATCTCTGCTGTCCATGGCCACTGAGTGTCCCTGCAGGGCTGATCAAATTCCAGCATCCCACTGGGAGATGCTCCGCCCAGGGCAGGAGCCAAGCATTCCTACCTGGATACAATCTGAGCCTGGAACAGCACAGCAGCCTTTGCCCACTGCATTCCCAGAGGAGCAGCTTTCTCCTGCCCTGCATTCCCAGAGGAAGAGCAGGCCCATCCACAGCAGCCCTGGAGCTTCAGAGGAAAACTCCAGCCTTGTGCAGGATCCCTGCTCCAGCAGAAGCACAGCTGGCACTGCAGGAGGGCTGAGCCCCCATGGGATGGGACTGTGCCACCACCCTGACCCACAGGGCTCAGCGCCTGCTCTGACTCTGGCAGTGCTTTGTTTGTACTATTGCATTTGTATTTTAATTTTCCTACTAAAGAACTGTTATTCCTATTCCCATATCTTTACCTGAGAGTCCCTTAATTTCAAAATTACAATAATTCAGGGGGAGGGGGTTTGCATTTTCCATTTCAGGGAAGGCTCCTGCCTTCCTTAGCAAACACCTGGCTTTTCAAACCAAGCAGCATAAAGACAAGGAAGAAATTCCCACAAGTCCCCCTGCTCCAAGGAACAGCCAGGACTGGAAATCCTCCCCATGCTGAGGGCAAACCCAGCTGGGTGTGGGGCAAATCGCAGCACATCTCACTCCTGGGAGTGAGGTTTGGGTCCCAGCTGCCCCCGGGCTAGCCAGTACCCCATTTTTGCAGCTCTGCAGTACAATTCTGAGCAGGGGGCTGAGCTGCCATTCCTGGACAGCAGTCATATCTGAACACACCTGGGATTCACCTCAGAGCTCTCCCTGCACGTGCAGCTCTCAGATCCCTGCTCTCCAAACCTTCCTGCTGCCCCTCCTGTCCTGGCTGTGGCTCCTGGGTTGCTGAGCAAACAGCAGCTGAGTGACAGCACCAGGACCCAGCGGCGCTGGGAGGTGACAGCGCTGTCACAGTGAGGATGGCAAATAAACTCCAGAGCAAACAGGGCTGGGGAGGCAAATTCAGTTACAAATGCCAGGCAAAAGTGTGCAGAAATCTAGGCACTAGGCTGGAGCGAACTGATGGGAGGTGGAGCTGAGTCTTTCTGAGTTCAGATTTGTTATTTTGAGCCATTTGTGTTCTGCTCTACTCATATTTTGTACATTTTTTTGGCCTTTCCACTTCCTGTGCCTGTGCCAGCACTGGTAGATTGTTCCAGGCCAGCTTGTTGGGACTTTTACTGCCCCTGGAGCTGCCTGTAGTTCAGTGCTCTGGTTAATCTCACCACAGGCTGGAGCACCAGGGGTTTCTCCTTTCTCTGTGAGCTTGCTGAGCACTGTGGGAAGCACTTTTCCCTGCTGTCCATCCCACAAATCCTGTGCTGTGCCCGAGCAGGGGGTCTGGGTCCATCTCTGGGGCGGTTTAGGGCAGCTGCATGTGCAGAACACGATAACAGGGACTTGGGAATTACCCAGGGCTGTCCTCTGTTCCCTGCAGCAATCCCGAGTGCTTCCCTCACCGCCCATGGCTTTTCCATGGGAAGAGCTTTGCCATCTGCACAGGGAGGCACAGAAAGGATTTTCCCTACACCTTCAAACCACAGGGTGAGGCTCGGCACCGCTGCTGCCTCCCAATCCCAGGGCAGCCCATACAAACTCCCACAATATTCGTGGCCTGGCTTCCACTCCTCAAATTCTGTCTCTCTTCCTCCCTTTGTCTGAGGTGTTTGTTCCCTCTCCCATGAGCTGCTGCTGCAGTGACACCTGATAATACCTGACTCATTCTGTGTTATCACCGGGGGATAATCCATGGCTCACTCTGAATCCCAGGTTTCCCTCCTTTCCACAGAGGAGCCAATTTTCCATAACAAAAAGCTGCTCCCCTTCATCACTTTCAGCCTGGGAGCTGGACCAGGAGATTTTACACCTGTCAGAAACTGGGAGTTCTCCAGGCCCAGCCCTGTGTGTTTGGAGTTCCAGGTGGATCACACCTTTCAGGAAGTGTTGCTACACATTTTTCCTTCCAGGGAATGGCAGGGAGAGGCCCCATGGCCTCTCCTGCTGACAGAAAATGGGGATTTATTGCCCATTCCTGCTGCCTTGGGGCACATTTGGAAACAATAAAAATTCCCTTTGCTCCTGTAGGAGCAAAGCTGCATTTGGAGGACGCTGTTTTTGTAGGATGGTGTTTTTGTAGGGTGGGGTTTGGAGGATGGTGGTTCTATAGGATGGTGGTTTTATAGGATGCTGTTTGGAGGGTGCTGTTTGGAAGGTGCTGTTTGGAGGGTACTGTTTTTATAGGATGGTGTTTTTAGGATGGTGTTTTCATAGGGTGGTGGTTTTAGGATGGTGTTTTCGTAGGATGATGTTTTTGATATGCTCAGGCTCCTTTGATGTGCTGTGCAGAGAGGAATTAGATCCTGCTTCAGCCAGGAGAGACTCCTGCCCCACAAGGCTCCCAACCCGAGAAGCAGCATCAGACAAAGGCAACTCAGCCTCTGACAGGAACTGGGACCATCCCAGTTGAACTGGGAATTCTGGAGGCAACGCTAGCTGGGGGAATTACAAAACAAATTCTCTCAACTGCCCCAAAAGAGGCATGATTTCAGTGCACTAAAACCCTCTTTACCAGGTTGTTTTCCAGTGCCTCCAGGAGTGTGTGGATCATGTTTACAAACTCTCCAGTGCCAGTGAAATCTGGAGATTTATTTAACCAAAACCTGAAATGCCCTGGACAAAACCCTGCAGTTCTGGAAAGGCAACTTCACAGAGCCCCTGTGTCCCACAGGGCTCTGAACCTGCAGGGCTTGGAGCAAGGAAGCAGAGGGGTGAGGGGTGGTCACAGGTACAACTTCCACGGGAAAGGCTGGAGGAGGACTTTGGAAAAGGGTCTGGAGGGACAGGACACAGGGAATCGCACCCACTGCCAGAGGGCAGGGCTGGATGGGATCTTGGCAATTGGGAATTGTTCCCTGGCAGGCTGGGGAGGGGCTGGGCTGGAATTGCCAGAGCAGCTGTGGCTGCCCCTGGATCCCTGGCAGTGCCCAAGGCCAGGCTGGAGCACCTGGGACAGTGGGAGGTGTCCCTGCCCATGGATGGGGATGGCATGGGATGAGTTTTCCAATCCCTTCCCACCCAAAGCATTCCAGGATTCTCTGTAGAGCTTTAAGGTCCTTCCCACCCAAACCATTCCCAGTTCCTGGCTGGCAGCCCCGCAGCCCCTGGCTGGGAATGCCAGGACTCACCACAGAAAGCCTCCTGGAACTTGTGGGTTAGCTTCTCGATGACGCTGTAGCTCTCCACGTAGTCCACGTGCTCGTCCAGGGGCTCGCTGGCCATCTGCCTCAGCGTGCCCATGTCCACCCTGCCCACGCCGATGGCGAAGATCTCAATGCCCGCGGCCCTGGCCCGGGCAGACACGTCCTGCACCCCGTCCTGGGGCCGGCCGTCGGTCACCACGATGGCCACCTGCAGCGGGGAAGGATGGCCTGGGTGGGCATGAGGATCCTCCTTCATACTCCCAGAATGTTGGTGGGACAGGCCAAGGTAGGAGAGAAGGGTTTGCATTTCTAAAATTAAGGGAAAAGGGAATCCCACCAGCTTTTCCCATTCTTTGGAGATCACACCAACCATGTTTTTTCTGAGTTGGAATTAGTTTCTTTCCAAGTTGGAAAAGTTAAACTGCCAGGGATTGATGGTTTCACCAAGGAACAACTGCCAGGGATCGATGGGTTCACCAAGGGACAACTGCCAGGGATCGATGGCTTCACCAAGGGACAACTGGCACATTCCCCTCTAAGGAAACTAAATTAAAATTTATGTTGTTCATAGCCAAACTCGAGCTCAAGCCAAACTGAAGATCTTCAGGGACACTCAGGACAAGCCCAGCTGAGTGTGGGTCTTCACAGCATCTCAGGAAATGCCATGGAAATGTGAGATGAAGGCTTCATCTCATTTATGGATAGAGGAGCTGAAGGATGGACCTGGAACCATCTCCATGGGGAGAGAGAGGGAGAGACCTAAGGACACACTGTGTGTCAGGGACTGCCAGGATTTGTGATTGCCTGTTCCAAAATAAACAGCAGGGATTAAACCCCACCCCTGCTAACCCCAGCATTAAAGTGGCAGCTGGTTTAAGCGGGAACTGGATTTCAGCTTGGATTAAACGGTGCCCTGAACCAGCTAAGAGCCTCCCAGAGTCCTGCTCCTGGTTTGTCCCTTTTCCTCTTTATTTTTCTTCTGAAAGAGACTTTGTCACAAGACCTGAATTCTTGCTTTTTGCAATTCTTCTGCCCCTGCCACTTTTCCCTACAATTGATTTATTGTGACACCACTGCCAACTCCAAAGGAATGGCTTGAGCTGGAATACAGAATGGGGAAAGAGCTTCCCCTCTGGAAAAAGCAGGAGAAACAGGAAAAATGTGGGGCTTTGCAGCTCATTTCAGCTGTTTATCTACACTTCCTAAGGGCTGCACAATTAAAAATTCCCAGGAGCATCCTAATTCCACAACTGATGCTTCCACGGGGGAAAAAAATAAACAAATTCAAGCCTTGCTCTTCTAGGGTGGCAAAAATAAGGCAAAGCAGCACCTGTGGCAGGTGTGGGGGGTGGAGTGGAGGAATAGATGTGCCCAAGGAGCTCCGGGGTTTTCCTGGGGCGGGGTGGATCCATCCATGCAGTGGAGCCTTTTGCCAGGAGAGAGAGCCCTCGGCTCAGCTCCGCTCCAGCCGGGCTGCTCCGCCTGAGCAGCGCCGCCCGGGGCTGCCGAGGAGAGCAGGAGAGCCCCGAGCCCGGCTGGCAGGAGCGAGGGAGGCATCGAATCAGGGATCACAGGAGATATCAAACAAGGGAATGAGGAGCTATCAAATCAGGGATCGGAGGAGATGTCAAATATGGGAATGAGAGGGGTTATCATATCAGGGATCAGAGGAGATGTCAAATCAGGGATCAGAGGGCTTATCAAATCAGGGAATGAGGAGTTATCAAATCAGGGATCACAGGAGATATCAAACATGGGAATGAGGAGTTATCAAATCAGGGATCGGAGGAGATGTCAAATATGGGAATGAGAGGGGTTATCATATCAGGGATCAGAGGAGATGTCAAATCAGGGATCAGAGGGCTTATCAAATCAGGGAATGAAGAGTCATCAAATCAGGGATCACAGGAGATATCAAACATGGGAATGAGGAGTTATCAAATCAGGGATTGGAGGAGATGTCAAATCAGGGATCAGAGGAGTCATGAAATCAGGGAATGAGGAGTTATCAAATCAGGGATCGGAGGAGATGTCAAATATGGGAATGAGAGGGCTTATCAAATCAGGGAATGAGGAGTCATCAAATCAGGGATCACAGGCATTTATCAAATTGAGGAACAGAGGTATTATCAAATCAGACACCAAAGCCTGCCAGCAGGTCATGTCAGCAGCTGTGTTTCCTCCTGCAATTTTCTTCCTAAATCAAGAAATTCTCCAGGTTTTGTCAGCTCCTCTGCATCTTCAGCTAAGCCCAAGTCCAGCTAAGCGCAAGCCCAAATAAACCCAAGCCCAGATAAACCCCAGACGGGGTGGGGCTGCAGCATCCACACCTGGATGTGATGGAAAGATCCTCATAATGCCTCTGAGTGGAAATCTGCCATAAGGGACTCAAAACTCACATTGCTTTCTGCTCTGCTGTAGGAGAAAACAAAACTTCTGGATACAGAGTCAGGGTTGGGCATTAATCAGAGAACCCATGGGGAAAATTAATGTAACAGTGAGAGGAAGCCAGGGGACCTGTCTGTGATAGCCTGACAGAAAGATTTTAAAAATATCTCTTAATATCACATTTGGTTAACCCAATCATCAGGAAATCCTGGTTTTTCCCCTAGGATTCCAACCATAGATATTTTCCCTGCATCCAGCCTGAGTGAATGTGAAAAAATGTCTGGCTTTACTATTATTATTTTCAAACCTACCTCCAGATGATTTGCAGTCTAAGGATCTCTGTAATTCCCTGTCATTGAAAAAACTGAGTTCTGGTGTGTGCCTGGTTTGGGAAAGGCTTGGAGGGAAGGAGAAGCCTCTAGGTCCTGGGGAGGCTGGCACTGCTCAGCCATGTGATGGGAATTATGAAAAAGTGAAGCTTCTGCTGCCTCCAACAGCTGAATTTTGCCTTGATTCTCAATTTTACCCTTGGAAAACTCAGAAATTTTGCTTTTCAAGGGCAAACCTTTTGCTCGTTTAACCAGCAGCTTTCCCTGTGAATTCCTGACATTCTGGATCCCTCATCCTTCTGTCAGACAGAAACCCCACGTGTTCTGAAACAATTTATTTCCGGTTATCTCAGACACCCGAGCATTCCCGAGCATTCCCAGGTATTCTCAGCCCGGGCTGGCATTTCCCGGCGATCCCGCAGCTAATGAGGGAGCGATGGCTCATTATGCCCGGGGAACGTGATGTTCCAGCAGCACTCCAAGGAGAATCAGGCAGGAAGCTGCATAAAGCCCTGGATTTGCTCAGCAATTTGCCAATTTATTTGTTGTTCTTCCCTAAAAAATAAGGTGGAAGTAATTGGGCTCCCCGCAGGTTTTGAGGAAGGTGGGAGCAGGTTTTTCTCGGAGCTCCTCCAGAAACAAATTGTGCTTTTCCCTGCCCGGGGGTGACATTTGCTGCACAAAGCAAGAGCAAAGCACCGTGTGATGTTTTGGGTTGTTGACAACCAGATTTGCACAAGGATTTGTTGGATTTCTGCTGTGGGAAGGAGCAAGGACCGTGTCCCTTGTTTCTGGAAGCTTCACCTCCCTAAATCCCTGTATGACCTGTTCCTCCTCCCAAGCAGGGGATGGGGTCACCCTGAGCAGAAAGGAAAAGCTGCTTGGAATTCAAGGCAGAGGGAAAAAGGAAAAAAAAAAAACCAAACAAAAAAAACCCCAAAAAAACCCCCAAAACCAACCCCAAAAAACAAACCAGGGAACCAAGAACAAAAAGGGTTGTGGAGTTTTCCACCTTTGAGAGATTGAAAAGCAACCTGGGCATGGTCCTGGTCCTGGGCAGTCCCACTGGAGCTCAGGGTCAGCTCCAGAGATCCCTCCCAACCTCCTTCTGTGATTCTGCCTCTTGGATCAGCTCCGGCATGGAAGGGAAGAAGGAAAACAAGGAGTAATTTCCTTTCCCCCCCACCCCACCTTTTTTTGTTGCCTCAGATAAATAATTCCAAAGCTCACTGCTCCCAGCTCTTCCAGCTGTCCAGGAAAGGTTTCAGGGAGACACTAGAAATCCAGGATAGTTTGTTCCACACAACCAGAGGTGACAGGGAACAGCAAGGCTTGGGGGAGCTGTCTGGCAGCAGGAAAAGAATGCACAAGGAGAGGGATGTTGAATGGTGTGGAAGAGATTCTGGAGATGAAGATCCAGCGCTTTCATAGGCAGCTCAGTGGAAATGTCTCTGCAATCTGCAAGAGTGTCCAATGCTGTGTGCAATTGTCAGACTGCATTTAGAACAAAAACTGAGACTAAGACTGACTATGTTATAATGAGCTTTGTATTTTCTTTCACTAAGCCCCAAAGATGAGCTTCTTTTTCAAGAAGAATTGAGATGTTTGAAGCTCCCAGAGATTTTTCAAGAACTGAGAGATTTGAAGCTCCCAGAACTGAAAGGTTTGAACTTCCCAGAGGATTCCAAGAAGAATTGAGAGGTTTGAACCTCTTGAAGGTTTCCAAGAATTGAGAGGTTTCAACCTTTCAGAAGTTTGCAAGACGAATTGAGAGGTCTGAACCTCCCAGATGTTTCCAAGAAGAGTTGAGATGTTTGAACCTCCCAGAGGTCTTAAAGAATTGAGAGGTTTGAACCTCTCAGAGGTTTCCAAGAATGGAGTGATGTGCACCTCCCAGAGGTTTCCAAGAAGAATTGAGAGGAGTGAACTTCCTGGAGGTTTTCAGACCTCCAGTTTGCACCTCCCAAAGGTTTTCCACCTGTGACAATCAACCCCAAGTTGTCCAAATCCTAGAAAAAATCACCTTTCTGCTTTTCCCAACCACTCCATGACGAGTCCCAAGCGAGGAGCTGGAGGAACCAGCCCCTTTTTACCTTTTTGAAGTTGGGCGCACTGCCCCTGCCGCCCTCGGCGGCGCTGAAGGCGCGGCTGATGGCAAACTGGATGGCCAGGCCTGTCATGGTGCCCGTGGAGAGGGGCTGGATCCTGCGCACGGCCTGCAGCAGCGCCGCCTTGCCCTGGGGGCCCTGCAGGGACAGCTCGCTGCGCACGGCGCTGGCGTAGTTGATGACGCCCACGCGGGTGGCGTTGGGGCCCACGTCCAGCGCCTCGATCACGCGCGACACGAACACCTTGATCTTCTCGAACTCGTGCGGCCGCACGCTGCGCGAGCTGTCGATGATGAACACCAGGTCCGTGGGCTTGGTCCTGCACAGGGTGCCTGAGGACAGCAGAGGGGAAATCAAAGAGAAAGAAGGGAAAGTGTCAAAGGAAAAGTGTCCTGGGAGGGAGAGAACAGCGCTGGTAAAGCAGCACTGGGCGGAGAGGGGCGGCGGGTTTTGGTCCTTTCTCTGTTTCACAGCTTTAACTGAATATTTTAAATGTTCTTTGTGCTTTTCTAAGGAAGCACCTTCAGGAAAGCAGAGTTTCTAGGGGATGACACGGACTTGTGGTGAGCAGGGAGTCCCTTGTCACCCCTGGACAAGGGTGTCCCTTGTCTCTGAGGAAATCTCATCCCCCTAGGGCAGCACAGAGAGAAGGAGGGAGAGATAAATGTGTGGAATGACAGCACGGAGAAAGAGAAGGAGAGAAAGACGGGGAGGGAGAGGTAAAGGTGAGGAAGGAAGGAAGGAAGGAAGGAAGGAAGGAAGGAAGGAAGGAAGGAAGGAAGGAAGGAAGGAGTTGTTGAATGGCAGCACTGAGGGAAAGAGGGAGGGAAGAAGGAAGGGAAGAAGGGATAAAGCTCTGGACTGAAATCTGAGCTGCATTTCTGCATCCAGAAAAGGCTGGAAGGAGATTACTGCATCTCAGACCTGGATAACCAATCCCCACGGATATCAGTTAATGGGAATGGGACCAGAACCAGGCACAATACTCAGCAATCAGCTGGGATTGGGAACAACATTGCCAGGCTAAGGGTTAACATTCCCAGCACAACAGGAGCCAGACCCCTGTTCCCCAGTGATGGCACCAGTAATAAACCCCAGTAACAGCACAGAGCTGGTTCACATCTGTCAGGGTGAAACAACAGAGAAATCTGGAACGCATAATTGATAATTAATAATAGATAATTAATCTCTACCCCCCCACAAATACCCACAGGGAAAATGAGAGGCTATCAGGAGGCATCAGCAATCCAACAAACTGAATAAATTGTTATCGTTATTTTTAATTTCTCACTTTCATGCCATTTTCCATCTTCATTTTCAGCTGTGGCAAGACATAAAAAAAAACCTGGTGTTTTTTTATGATTTCCTAAATGAATGGCCCCATTTTCCCCAGCAGATCTATGGCATCCTGTTCTTTTTATTTTTTTTCTCCTCATTTAGCCTGTCTCTGTCAAGTGCTCTGCTAATATTTGAGTTCTGCAGGGCCCAGAGAGTTCCTGTCATAAAGGAGATTTCTGTGGACAGATTTTTAAATGGGAGCTTTTGGGCCAACAAATCTGCTCCAAATGATGGCATAAATATTACAGCTGGTCCTCAGTGTGAGATCTAATGGGGCTTTCAGTCTTTGAGGCAGATAAAAATAAATACTCTGTGATGGATCTGTAAAGGAAATAATCAGGTTTGTTTCCTGAGAGGCATCAAGGCTGAATCTGCTCCAGAAAAGTCTGGGAAGGTGGGAGCAAAGCAGGCAGTGGTCACTTTGTCAGGAGCTCTAATTCCCACTAAAATCCAATCTAACATTTTCCCATATGGATGAATTTCATTCCCGCCACCCCCCCCCCCCCCCCCCCCCCCCCCCAGTAATTTATTGCAGAGGAAGGAAAACTCCCAGGGAGATCCATCTGCAGCACTGGAAATCCCTCTTCCAGGGGTACCCAGTTTACAGGTGAGAAATGAAGGTCCAGGGAAAGGCTCAATTAATCCCTCCAGAAATAAAACACAAATCCCCCTTTGTGCTGATGAATCATCCCTGGATTTAATGACAAACCAAGCAGGAAAAGTTATTTTATTTCCCTTAGAACATCTGGAGCCAATAGAAATTCTGAAGTCTTTCTATTTTATTTATTTCTGCTCTGTGATTTGGCTCTAAATAACATTTTCAAGCTCTTCTTATGAGAGTGGAGTTTACTTCAGAGAAGGGAAGAATAAAGAAGGGATAATAGGAGGGACATTTTTGGGATTTCAGCCACAGTCAGGGTCTGCAGGACAGGCCCATTCTCTCCAGTCACTTGCTCTGATTGACACCTTGACTCAGCATAGTTTAGTTAAAACTGGAATTAAACCAGAAATAAAATCTTACTCTATATTTACAAATATCCACACTAAGAATTATTAGGGAATAGCTGAATTAATGCCCTGACTTAGCAGAAAATTCCTCTCAGGGCATCTTTGCCATATCCATTAAAGCACTGGGAGAACAGAGCAGTAACCCAGGACTAAAAGGGGTTTATTTTAGAGAGTTGGCTGCTCACAGCAGGGCTCAGCTCAGTTGCTGCTCTCTTTCCTGACTTTGCACAGCAAGGAGAACCCTCTTTTCCCAAATTCCTGAGGAGAAAGGGCTCAGTTTATCTGAGATCCCCCTGCCTCAGCCCCAGGTGCCTCTGCAGTCACTGTCACACCTGCACAGCTCAGGCTGCCCATGGCTGTGGGCAAGGCATCTTCATCACACTGTCCAAATATTTTGAATTCCCACAAGTCTGGCCTTGCAGCGGAGTTTGCCTCTCCTGTAGTGATTTCTGGAGAAATCCAGAAATCCTTGGGTGCCTGGAGCCCGGGGAAGAGCAGAGATGCTCCTGAGGACCAGACCCTCCCTTCCCTGCATGTCCAGCCCTTCCCTGGGTGTCCATCCTTGCCCCGGGTGTCCATCCCTTCCCTGGGTGTCCATCTCTGCCCCAGGTGTCCATCCTTCCCCAGGTGTCCATCCCTGCCCCAGGTGTCCATCCCTGCCCCGGGTGTCCAGCCCTTGCTGGCACTCACTCCAGGCTGGGGTTTAGAGCCCATGCAAGCTGCAGAGCAGGCAGCTCACCTGCTCCTGGCTGCCCTACTGCCCACCTGGGAAGCCAAACAGAGCCGGATTTCGCTCAGGATCGGATGAAGGAAATCCAAGGAAAGTCCCGTTCCCAGCAACCCGATCCAGACCTCCTGCTCGGGAGGTGACGCCGGTGCCCAGCCAGTTCCTGCTCCAGCCCCTGTGGAGCTGGAGAGGGCAGGGAAGGCAGAGCCCTTGTCCCACCTGGGCCTCCTCCAGCCCCAAGGGGTGAGCCGGGGCCACCCGTGCCGTCCCCACAGGAGCCATCCCAGCCCCAGGTCCCGCTGCCTTGGGGACACATTGGACACAGCTCCTGCACTTCCCTGGCTGTTGCTGGGCATTCCCTCACTTTCCCCTTCCCAGCGGCAGGCCGGAAGCACAGAGGGACCCCCAGCCCCCCCAGCCCCCCAGCCCCCGGTCCCCACTCACAGGAGCAGCAGCAGCGAGAGCAGCAGGGCACAGCAAATCCTGGCCATGGCTGAGCCGGGCTGGGAGTGCGGGGCAGAGCGCTGGCCCCGGGTATTAACCTGCCCTTCTGCGGAGGCTCCGAGCCAGCCCCTGACACGGCGGGGCCGGGGGGGCAGCGAGGGGAGAGGGGCAGGAAGAAGGAGCAGGAGGAGATGCTGCTCCAGGGTGGGGAGGGGGCGATGCCCAGCCCTGCCCTGCCCCCGGGGCCCCCAGCCCCCACAATGGCCCCATTGCTGCCGAGGGCACGGGGAGCTCTGGCGGAGCGGGGGAAGGTGGGGAATGCGGGGCTGGAACAGTGGCACCACTGAGAGCAGCCCGGGGTGGGGCTGTCCGCCCGCCGCGGCTGCCGCGGAGCTGGGGCGGCAGGGGCCGGGGGGACAGCGAGGGGACAGCGGCAGCGTCACACGGGTCCCCTCTCAGTCCCACCTGTGCCAAGCCCAGGACAGCATCCTGTGGGACCAGGGGCTCTGCACAGACCTGCAGCAGAGCGCAGGAAAGCAGCAGGGCTCGGGGTGCCAGGCTCGTGTCCTTCCCCTGGCAGAGCCCAGGGAGGGGACAGCGCCAGCGTCTCACGGGTCCCCTCTCAGTCCCCTCTGTGCAGGGCTGGAGATCCCTTTGGGATCCCTGCCTTGGGGGAAGGCTCAGAGCAGCAGCGAACAGAGGCACAGGAAAGCAGAGGGCTGGGGGTGCCAGCAGGCTCGTGTCCTTCCCCTGCAGAGCCCAGGGAGGGGACAGCGCCAGCGTCTCACGGGTCCCCTCTCAGTCCCACCTGTGCCAAGCCCAGGACAGCATCCTGTGGGACCAGGGGCTTTGCTGCCCTCAGAGCAGCAGAGGAGGCTCAGGAAGGCAGAGGAGGGTTTGGGAGCACGGGTGACAATCCGGGATGCAGAAGAATTTTCCTGCAGGGAACAGGCGCTGCTCTGTGTGGCTGAGCCCCTGTGAGCAGAGCGGCTCCAAAGCCCAAAGCAGATGAACAGGAGAGGCTGGGGACGGACAGACAGACAGCTGCGGGCTTTGACTGAGCTGGCAGTGCAGCGTTCAGCTCCGCACACACGAGGGAGATGCAGCTCCTGCCAGAAACCCTACAGTCTCAATCAGCCTCCAAGGCTGAGGGTGCTGCAAATGAGGGTGCTGCAAATCTCTCTTCCCCCGCTACCAAATCTCCCTGCTGCTCCTCCACACGAAATTTCCTTTGTGGAGGAGCAGCAGGGAGATTTGGTAGCGGGGGAAGAGAGATTTAATGATGGCTTTGTCACAAAGCAGTGCATCTTTTTCTGTTTTTTTAACGACTGTTTTACACTGCTGTCACTTGATTAAAGCCCTGCTTCTCGCATGGATTGGGTTCTGCTCACCTTTTCCAGCAGCACATCTTGGATCCCTCATCCATTTAATCTGCATTGTGTGAGTGCAGGGCCATGTAAAGTACCTTTAACTCAAAGCACATTTTCTCTTCCCTTATCCAGAATCTCTCTTTCCTCCAAAAGCTCTTCAGCAGCCTGGGAGCTCCTGGGGAGAAAGGCTCTTTGATGTGGGGAAAGAAGGACCTGTCCTCACTGAAGCTCCCAGGCTCCTCTTAACTCTTTAACATTAAAAATGTTAATTAAAATATCAAAATCTGGCAATGTCTTCGTGCAAAATCAGCATGGATTTGTCCCACTGTCTTCCCACAGCATCAATCCCAGGCTTTCAGCCAGCTCTGGAGCTGACAGCTCTGGGGATTTTCAGCCAGGATGAGGAAATGCTCCAGGTGAGGGATGCAGCAGCTCTGCCATGAGGAAAGGGTGGCAGGATTGGGATTGCTCAGCCTGGAGAGGAGAAGGTTTGGGGTGACTTCAGTGAGAACTTCTGGTGCCTGAAGGAGCTGCAGGAAAGATGGAGAAAGACTTTGGTCAAGGGATGGAGGGACAGGACACAGGAAATGGCTTCAAACTGAAAAAGAGTAGGATTAGATGGGATATTGTTATAGAATTGTTCCCTGGCAGGGTGGGAAGGGACTGGGCTGGAATTGCCAGAGCAGCCGGGACTGCCCCTGGATCCCTGGCAGTGCCCAAGACCAGGCTGGACATTGGGGCTGGGAGCACCTGGGACAGTGGGAGGTGTCCCTGCCATGGCAGGGGTGGCACCGGATGGGCTTTCTAATCCCTTCCACCCCCTTCTCTTCCTCTGTGGATGCTTTCATGGATATATTTATAAAATCACAGACTTAGGGCAGTGCAAACAGAACAATCCCCTCCCCTGTTCACACACACAGAGTTTGCTCCCCAAATACATAAAAAAAAAATGCCCCCATCCATTTATGACTGTCAGGACCCAGAGTGAAATAAAAGCCCAAAATTTGGGAGATTTTGCCCTGTACCCGTCTGGGTTGGGGTTTCTCCTGTTTTCCCGCCCTGCACACAAGGATCTCTTGGCGCAGACAGCACTTGCTTCCCATGAATGGGGATCATTCAGAGCCCTCCGTAAATGAAGCCTCTATGGCTGTTCTTGCGGAGAAAACATAAAGTTGCTCTGTGTCATTCTGCTGTTAATTAACAAAGATAAATACATTTCAGGTGGATATTTTCACCAGCAGAGCTTGTGGCACACAAGCAGCATTAAAGCTTTGAAAAGAGGGCGAGAGGCAAAGGTGTGCTCGGAGCTCTGGGGCTGCATTGATGCCTCTGGAAAAGCAGTGTTTATTTTTAAAATATGAAACATCATTTCTCCCCAGGCCCCTAAGAAGGAGAACACTGGAGTCAATATTTCAGGAGGAAAATATGCATTTCGAGCTCTTCCCCAGCCTGCCTGCAAGGTAAACACATGAACTGTGAACGGCCCGTGCTGGCCCCAGCGTGGCCCTGCTGCTGTTGTGGCCTTCACATGTCCTGGCATGAGGAGGCTTTGCCTCTCCTCCAACACCTCAAACCCATGGATCCTGACTCCAAAAGTGATGCTCTAAAACACCAATTCCGCCCTTTCCTTCTACTGATGGAGAATCAGAAAATTTTGGTCCCACTTTGCTTCTGCTGAAGGCAAAATGTTCAGAGTCCTCCGTGCTGGGCATTGGTGAGGTCACACCTCGAATTTTGGGGGTAGTTTTCGAGAAGAAGGACATGGAGGGGCTGGGGCATGTCCAGGGAAGGGAACAGAGCTGGGGAATGGTCTGGAGCCCCAGGAGAGGCTGAGGGAGCTGGGAAGGGGCTCAGCCTGGAGAAAAGGAGGTTCAGGGGGGACCTTGTGGCTCTGCACAACTCCTGACAGGAGGGGACAGCCGGGGGGTCGGGCTGTGCTCCAGGGAACAGGGACAGGAGGAGAGGGAACAGCCTCAGGCTGGGCCAGGACAGGGTTTTTAAGTATTTGGGAACATTTTTTTCAGGAAAAGGGTTGTGACGCATTGGCTCAGGTGGAATCAAGGAAGTGGTGGAGTCCCCATCCCTGGAATGTCCTAAGAGGGCTTGGAGGTGGCCCTTGGGGACACGGTCAGTGGTGGCCGTGGTGGTGCTGGGGGACAGAAGGACTTGGTGATCCCAGAGGTCCTTTCCAGCCTGAGGAATTCTGTGATTCCAAGACTCCAACATGAGCTCAGGAGCTGCAGCTTGTCCTTCCCAGCATGGACAACTGGGAGTCACCACCTGCACCAGGCAGGAGAGCTTTGGGTTTTCCTCACTTTCAAAGCTCTGCAAGAGTCCCCAAAATCCTCATGGTTTCCTCATGGTTCTTGTTGTCCTTCGGCTCCTCCGTTGTTTTCCAGACAAATTTTCTAGTTTACAAATCCCTGGTTTGCCAATTCCCTGTGGCAGAATTCCACTCTGCTGGACCCCTTTACCTTTAAAGTGCCAAATCTGCCAGTCTTGGGGCAGGAAAAGTAAAGCCCAGCTTAAGGATAAGTCCTGAAAGTACTAAAATGAAAACATTAAAGCAAAATTAAAGCTGGGAGAGGTGGCAAGAGGAGAGGTGGAGGGTCCTCATTTGTCATCACACAAATAACTCTGATGGAAATAAATGATGTAAATGCAGATCTTCCTCCATCACAGCCCTTCCCAGGGATGCTGATCAGCTGGGAAAAGCCAGGAAAAACAACACTGGATTTTCCGTGGGTCTGGTAATTCTTGTTTAGAAGCAGCATTGCACTCCTGCCATTTGTTCTGCTCAAGTTTTAGTTCAAAACTGCATTTTAGCTCTGGATTTCCCTATTTCCAGTAGACACCCCCTGACTGCATTTAATGTCTCACTGTAAATGTCACCCTGCAACGAGCTCAAGTGTTAAAATCAAAATGCAGCAGCAGTCCCAAAGGTATTGCTGTGGAAATGACCCAGAAAAATGGGAAAGTTTTCTGGGGGAAAAAAAAAAGGAAATCAGGGATCTCAAGACGTTCCCAAACTTCCAGTGGAGCTCCGGCAGAAGGCAGGATAAGGAAATCAGCTGAGGCTGGGCCAGGAGAGGTTTTGAATGGATATTGAGAAAAATTTCATCATGGAAAGGATGGCCAGGAATTGGCACAGGCTGCCCAGGGCAGTGGTGGAGTCAAATCCCTGGAATTGCTAAAAAAAAAAAAAAATCAGTGGATTGGACCCTTTAGGATGTGGTTTAGTGGTGACCATCGCTGGGCATGAGGATCTTAAAGGTTTTTTTCACCTTAACAATGCCATGAGTTAAATACTGGATTTTTCTTTATTTTTGTAGCCCTGGACCAGAAATTCTTCTCCAAAGGAATCTGGAGGGTGCCTGAATCCCACAGATGAGGCAGAATGAAAAGGCTGGGAAGGGAGCAGCAGCCAAACTCTGAGTTGTTTGCTGTTGGTTTTTATTTCATTCTAAACAAACCCAGGAGTTGTAGTAAACACAGCTCTGCTGCCCTCCAGCCTCCAGAAAGCTCCAAGACTTTACAAAATGCTCTGTAATTTCTGCCTATTTCTGGCTTCCTTTGATGTTCCAGGTGAGTGTTCCAAGCTGGACTCCCAGCTCCACTTTTCACCCTGCAGAGAAATAATGACAAAAGCTCCTGTTCTTGTGTTTTACCCCCACAATGTTTCTATTTCAGTTTGAGGGATGGAGGGACCCCTCCCAACCTCCCGCATCCCCATTTCCTACCCTGGCAATGTGGAATTACAGCAGTGGGGGCAGAGCAAAGCATCCAACAAATGATGCAAAGGAAAGGCTGGGGAGGCAGGAGTGGCTTTGAAAATAACCCCTGCACTGAGTCAGGATCAAAGGAATTTCTGTTTATCCTTCCAGTTGCAAAGAGCTGGCAAATATCCCTGGGGCTGCTGCTGGAAATAGCAAATGCTGTTTATGGCTGGGCCTTGTTTGTGTGTTTTATGGGTCACACTTATTTCACAGGGATCACTTTTTGTTTGTTCTCCGTGCCCACAGCTTCCCCTGGGACTGAGCTGCCTCCTGGGCACGGTTCCTGCCTCTCCTGCTGGCCACCTGCAGGGCTCTGCTCCTCCATCCCTGCCTGGATTTCTCCACCTTTGCAATTCCTCAGTTTTGGCCTGGACCGGGAGGCTCTGAGGTTGTTTCTGTGCTAGAAATGGCTGGGATAGCACCATAACTTTGTGCAATTTTGGGCGTCCCAAAAGAAAAAAGGTCTAAAGGGGTTAGAGAGCAACCAAGAAGGGAGATGGAGATGGGGAAGGGTTTGGAGGAGCAGCCGAGGGCACTTGGAGTGTCCAGCTGGAGCAAAGAGCTCAGGGATCTGCAACTCCCATCTCTGCTCTGGACAGGGACAGCAGCCAGGGCACGGCTGGAGCTGGGCCAGGGCAGCTCAGGCTGGAGATCAGGGCAAGGTTCTTCCCCCAGAGGGTGCTGGCACTGCCCAGGCTCCCCAGGGAATGGGCACGGCCCCGAGGCTGCCAGAGCTCCAGGGGTGCCCAGGGTAGGGTTGTTGGGGGGTCTGGGCAGGGACAGGGTTGGATCCATGACCCTGTGGGTCCCTCCAGCTGAGGATATTCCATGATTTGATGATCCTATGAAAGAACAGCAGGATAAGATTTACCAGTTGCAAATGTGGTCACTGCGTTGGCAGCTCCTTTTCTCCAAGGGGAATGACCCAAAACACCTGATGGATCAAGGCAAGGCACACAAAAGTCCCAGGAATCAGAGATCCCAGAATCCTGTGGTAGTTTGGGCTGGAGGGGATCTTAAAGCCATCTCCTACCATGAGTAGGGTCACCTTCCGCTCTTCCAGGTTGCTCCAAGCCCCTCCAAAATCACTGTAAAACACTTCCATTCGCAGGAATGTTCCACAAAATCCCCTTTTCCACTGGAGCTTTTGCTGGGTGGAAAAGCCACAGGCAGCCAGGGAATTTAATGGTCATCCCTGGATTCCAGAACATCTCAGGCTCCAGGAGATGTTGGTTCAGTCAAGACCCTCTCATTTATCAGTGCTGAGATCCTCAGCTCAATCATCCTCTCCACCAGAGAATTGCTGCTCATTTCTCCTCTGCCCTGACCAAAATCCAGCTTGGAGCAGTGCTGAGATCTTTGCGTGAGCTGGGTCTGGGCTGGGGAACATCCATAAATCAGTTTGGAGAAGCCAAACCAGAATAACAGGGGTGTTTAAAAGGGTCTTTTCTCAGTCTCCAGCCCAGCCCTGGTGGGGCCGTGGTGGGGCTCGGGAGCAGCCTGGGCAGGCTGGGCTCAGTTTGTGTTGGCCGAGCCCTGTGGCATTTCAGAAACCCAACCCCACGCCCTGTCTCCAGCTCAGCCCTGGCCTGGCTGGGAACTCACAATAAATCCATACATTTTATCAGGGTTGGGGAAACTGGAATGCTGGAATGCTGAGCCCTGGAGGGAAAGCTCTGCCTCAGGCAGGAGATGGACTGGCTTAGCTAGAGCCAGGCTCAGTTAGACCAGGTGTGAACACACACTGAAACCAACCCCAGCTCCGCCAGACACATCCTGACCATACTTCAGCTACTGCAGCTCTGTTATCAAAGCCAATTAAAGCAAGAGGCTCAGGGACTGATTTACCCTGCTGCAGCCACTCACCAGCCAGGAGCAGTCCCCATTATTAACAGGAATTTAATTAGAGGGAGAATCTGAACCACTGAAAGAGATGGAGGAGGGGTTTTAACAGGATTTAGTAGGATCACACTGAGGAACTCTCCTCTGGTTTGGAAACCAAGAGAATTGCCAACATTTCACATTTGGGCAGCCCCAGTTAATGGGCTTTTGGTGGGAGGAGGTTGGTCGGATGTCCCAGAGCTGTCCCACAGCATCCCAGGCTCTGATAAGGAACACTTAGGGCAGGATGTGCTTTTCCAAAGGGAATCTGCACCCTGACAGCCCATCCCGAGGCCTCCTCCAGGTCTGGCTTGGAGCAGCCAAGGAGGGAAATGAGAACGGCTGCAGCACCCAGCCTGCTCCTGTGGCTGTGACCAAGAGAAGTGTGGAATGTTCTGTCCCAGAACTGTCCCATGTCGGGGGATAGAATATAAGAAAATAGTGTAGAAAGTAATCTCACCCCTAAGGAGTAGCAGCTGGGCCAATTATCAAAGATTAGGAGGAGGCCTGGCTTTAACAGGGCACAGCTGTAACCAGTAAGGAGAAGATTGCCTTAAAAGAGTCAGTTGGCTACTTTGTGGGCAGGAGAGAGTTAGTGCTCTGAGGGGCTACCCATGGGAAGACACCAAGAAGGTATGAAACTTTTGTGATAAGGAGACAAGAGTATAGAACTTTTGTAATAACATGACCGCAATCCCACACTGTTCCAGCCTCTGATATGGAATATTTAGGGCAGGGTGTGCTTTTCCAAAGGGAATCTCCACCTTGGCAGCCAATCCCGAGGCCTCCTCCAGGCCTGGCTTGGAGCAGCTAAGTGAGAAATTAGAAGAGGTCCAGCACCCAGCCTGGTGCTGTGGCTGTGACCCAAAGGAGAAGCGTGGACTGTTCTGTCCCAGACCTGTCCCACACCGCCCCAGGCTCTGATAAGGAATATTTAGTGCTTTTCCAAAGGGAGGGCCCATCCTGAGGTCTCCTTCAGGCCTGGCTTGGAGCAGCTGAGGAGGGAAATAAAAACGGCTCCAGCACCCACTCTGGAACCGTGGCTGTGAGCAAGGGATGTGTGGAATGCTCAGTAACCAAATTGATTAGTAATTCAAAGATGGCTTTTAATCTCTCCACAGAATAAAGCAGGAGACCGGACTGGGCCTTGCTACAACAATCTGGGCTCTCCTGTAAAGTTTCCTGGTGGAATTTTGAGTTGTTCTTTGGTTACAGTTAAACAATTGGCAGATGTGATGGCAGAAAATTAATTTTCTGCTAGGAGGATTGGAGTGGTTTGAGCTTTTGGGGTGATTTCTGAGCATGTGTAAAAGCACCGGAGCAACTGAGATGTCATTTAGGGCACCCTTCCAGACTCCAGGTCTGCTGTGGAGCTTCCTGGTGCCCAGAACAAGGAGATGGAGCACAGAAAAACTGAATTTTGCCTCCATAATGGGAAAATCACTTGGAAAATATACAACCAAAATCATCCTCTTCATCCCCATTACAGAAATGCACATTGAGTGAAAAGAGCAGGGGCAGCAGCACATTTCTTATTCATCCTCGGCAAATATTCCATTGAAGTTTGCTGTTAAATATTCCATTGAAGCCTGGTTTGTGCTGGTTCAGAGTGGAGCAGCCCCCCCGGGCTGTGATCTGAGCTGGAATGGAGACTTTATTTAAGACTGAGAAAACCCCACTTTTTTCACACTGTAATGTTTGAAAAGAGCAGGAAATGATCCCAAAAGGGGAGCAGGTGTGGACTTCCAGGGACATCAGCAGTGCCATCAGTGACATCTGGAGAACCTGAGCTGGGCAGATTCACTGGTGAACAGGCCACAGATCCTTATCACTGCTGATAAGGCAGAGAGGCAGATTTTGAGAGGAAATTGAAAGGGAAATATCAGCTTTTCCTTTGCAAGCAGCACAAGCATGAGAAAGATCAGTCCAAGGTCAAAGCACCATTTTTTGCTCACTAATTTTTTTTATAAATCAAATTATTTTTTCCTTCACTCAGCAATCAGACACCCTCAGAAACAGACTCACAGTTTGGAAGCCATTAACATTTTTATTTTAATTGAAACTCATCTTCCAAGTGACATAAAAGCAGAGAAAAATGCACCCACTCAGGTATGAAACAGCAGAGCTGGATATTCTGGATTGTGTCAATCACCACAAGCAGACAGGGTGAGGGCTACAATTCCCAGGAGATTTTTTGCTGATCCCTTTGCTGTAGGAATTCTGCTGGAGGAACTGCAGGGCTGGGTTATCCCAGAGAAAATTCCTTCCCTATTCACCCTGTCATAGTTTGACATGGGATTTCCATGTCCTATGGAACATTTCCATTTTCCATTTTGGCCAGAGGGACCGATAAGAGCGAGCCGAGCTACAGCCCACGAAGGGGACTTTGTGAGTTTATCGTCTCTTTTGGAGTGGCAAGTTGTTTTACTGTTTAATATTTTTATTTTTTTGTGCTGATGAATGCTTTGCCTATTAAATAAATAGTTTTTTCCACTTTTCTCCAAGGAAATCTTTTTCCTGAACCAGTTAGAGGAGGAACCACTTGAATTTGTTTTTCTAGAAGAAACCCCTTTAGAAGTTTTTCTCCCAAAGTTGCCCTAAACCAGGACAATCCTTTAATTCCACTTCCTAAAGGTCTCCCTGCTGAGCCAGAGGAGAACCACCATCCTTGTGGCACAGAGCAAAGCTGGCAGGGCTCAGGCCAGCCCTGCACCACAGCAGCCAAATCCCAGATTCCAGGGATGGCAACCAGAGCCAGAGTCGGGAGCTTGGGGTGGCAGGGTCAGGAAACTGGGGTGCCAGAGTCAGGAATTTGGGGTGGCAGGGTCAGGAAATGGAGGTGCCAGGGTCAGGAAGTTGGGGTGCCAGAGCAGGACAAGACTCCAGCAGTTCCCTGGCAGGATGTGGCTGGAAAAGGCTGGGAACTGCTCTGGGTGAGGACTGGGGCTGTGCCAGGGGGAGGCACAGCAGCACCCAGTGTCAGCTCTCCCCCAGACTGGGCTCAGATGGTCACGTAGGGAGGGGGGCAATCCTTGGAAGGCAATTCCAGGGCTTCCTCATAGGATGGCAGCACAGCCTGGAAGAGATCAAAGGTTATGGGATCACAGGGATTTCATCCTGGAGGGCTGGGACAAAGAGTTAGAAATTTAACTTAAAAGTAGAAACTAATTTTAGATTTAGCAGAAGAGTGCTGTTTTAACTTGTTTAGTCTATAGCTTGCTAAATTTATTTAATCTACTAACTTACTGAGCTCAGAAAAAACTAAAAAAAATTTAAAGTTACTTAAAAGGATACAAGTTTCTAAACTAAAGAGAGATAAGGAGGGGTTCCACCAACCATAAAAAGAAAACTAAAGCTAAATTGCAGGCACAGCGACGTTAAAAGGACATTACTAGAGAGATGCACAGGTTCATAAAAACTGATGAGACAGTTTTAATATGAAATGTGGCTAAGAAATAAATATGCATGAACCTATCGTGAAACTTTATGCATATGCAACAGGTTAGGGGATAAAATAGACTCAGGAATTCTCAGAGGTACACATGTACTTTGGGGGAGCTATCCCACGTGTGTCCAACACTGAAATAAATCAGACCAACTTTACAACTTTTACAAGCTGTAGAGTTGCTTTTTTCCACAAATCAGGGTTCCTCTGCCTGCTTCCAAGCAGGGACAAAGAACTGCTTGGGTTTTAGGGCACAAAGGGCAGAAGTCCAGCAGGGTTTGGATCCACCTCGTGCCAGCGCTGCCCCCATTCCCTGGATAATACAGGACCCAAGGCTCCTGAACGTGTGGAATCCCAGCCTCATTCCCAAGGAAAGCTGAGTAATGTTGCAGAGGGGCACGGCTGGGGCAGCACTGCTGGCAAGGGAGGGCCCAGCAGATTGGCCGAGATAAAAGCCAAACCACAGCGTTCCACATCCCTCAGCATTCCCTGTCCCCCAGCATTCCCTACCCTCAGCATTCCACATCCCCCAGCACTCCACATCCCTCAGCATTCCCTGTCCCTCAGCATTCCCTATCCCCCAGCACTCCACATCCCTCAGCATTCCCTATCCCCCAGCATTCTCTATCCCTCAGCATTCCATCCCCACAGCATTCCCTATCCTTCAGCATTCCACATCCCACTGCATTCCATCCCCTCAGCATTCCACATCTCCCAGCATTCCATACCCCCAGGATTTCCTATCCCTCACCATTCCCCACCCTCAGCACTCCACATCCCTTAGCATTCCCTGTCCTCAGCATTCCATCCCCTTAGCATTCTCTATCCCTCAGCATTCCCTCTCCCCCATCCTTCCATCCCCTCAGAATTCCATGTCCCTCCCTCTTTTCTTCCCATCCATCCCTACAACACTGAAAATCCCAACCTCTCAGACAGAAAAGTGAAGAAAAAGCTGATTTTAAACACTTTTAGCTATGGAAACCAAAGTCCAGCTGGAATTGTCCCACATTCCTGTATCAGGGATCACAGGGAATCCATTCCCATTTATCTGCCATGCCTGATTTTCACCTGCCTTGCACATTGACTTTAAAGATTTTACGCAGAAAATAAAGAAGTAAAATTGAATGGATATCATGTAATTAAAAACTGATTTTTAACACTTGCTACTGGGGATTTGAAGGGTTGGAAATTCACTCAGATCCCAGAAAAGCAGAGATAAGGATCACCAGTCTAAAGGATTCCTGTTCATGGAATGAATTTACTTTTCCTCACCTCTCCCACTGCTTTTGAGTCCGTTTTCAGGAATAAATTTACTTTTACACCCCTTTTCCACTTCTTGTGGAAGTGGTGGTGCAATTCCTGGGGGATTTTTGGCTGATCCCTTTGCTGTAGGAATTCTGCTGGCAGAGCTGCAGGGCTGGGTTTTCCCAGAGAAAATTCACTTTTCTACTGCCTATGGCTCCACTTCCAGGAACAAATTAATTTTTCCTCACCTTTTCCACTGTTTTGGGTCTACTTTCAGGAGTAAATTCACTTTTCCTCACCTTTTCCACTGCGTGTGGCTCCACTTTCACCTCCTCCCTCCTGCTGGCTTTGATGAACTTAAAGCAGCTCAGGACACATTTGAACATGTAGGCCTGGAAAAGAGGGAAAGGGAAGGAAAAGGACATTTTCCCATGGCACTGCAGGGCAAAAAGGGCATTTCCCCTTTCACCACCAGCCTGGGATTTTCCTGCTCTTTTCTCGAGAGGGAGAAGTTTGGGACCACGATCCCAGGGCCTTAAATCAGTGTCTCCATCCTTCCCAGGGAATGTGATGATTCCATGAATTTAGAACAGCACTGGGGTGGGACTGGGATCAATAATTCAGTAAATATGACATGATTAAACACAAACTCCATTAAACACAGCACTGAGAGCTCTGAGAGCACAATATCCTGACTAGGAAAGGAAAGCGTGGCCTTGATGTCATTTTCCAGAGCAGGTCTGGAATCTGTGAATTCAGAACAATAAAATTAATATAAAGGATTAATTAATACAAATATAAATTTATAAAAATATAAATTGGTTAAAGTGATTAATTCCATGAATTCAGAGCAATGCTGGGATGGGACTGGGATCAATAATCCAGTAAATAAAAAGTGATTAAACATAAAATCCATTAAAACACAACACTGAGGCGTCTGAGATCACAATGTCCCAAGGTAGGAAAGGAAATGATGGCCTTGATGTGATTTTTCAGAGCAAGTTATGAAGTCTGGATTCCATGAATTCAAAACACTGAGGTGGGACTGGAAATCCAATAAATGTAAAATGATTAAACATAAAATAATCCCATTCTAACTCTGGGATGGTACTGGGACCAACAATCCAGTAAATAAAAAGTGATTAAACATAAAATCCATTAAAAGACAACATTGAGACGTCTGTGATCATAATATCCCAAGGTAGGAAAGGAAATAGTCGCCTTGATGTGATTTTTTGGAGCAGGTTACAAAGCCTGGATGCCTCAGAAAAGCACCAGAGGCACCACAGAGATCCAAGGACTGCCCCAAAAATCCCTTCATTCAGCAAAATCCCATTTTTGCACTTCCCTGACAGGACCTCCTGGTACCCCACGGATTTATCCATGCAATAAATGGATATTTATCCATGCAATAAATGGATATTTATCCATTTTCTGAGGAAAAAGGGCTGATTGAGGGGCTGTGGCCCAGGGAAATAAGCGGGGTCTGTGGGGCTGGCCCTGTTAAATCAATATTTTCCCTGCTCGAGTCGTGTGCCTGGTGTTTATGTTGGCCTGGGAATGTGCTGGGAGCAGTTGGGATTTTCAGGGAACACAGGGAGCCACAGATCCCAAACCCAGGCTGTGCAGCTGAGCATGCCCAGGACAATGAGAGCTGTTTGTGCTGACACCAAGCCAAGAGAAAGAGAAAAAAATGAATGAAATATCTGAGGTGAAAAAAATCAATCTCAACATTTCAGAGATTGGAGGTAAATCCAAACTTTGAGCCTCTTTTGGGAGTGTTGCAAAACCCTTCCTGCTTTCAAAGTCTCTTCATCCAGATAGCAAACCTGGAGCTGTCTTAGGAACTGGGTAGAAACCTCCACTCATCCATGGGGGAAAAACCCTAGAAATCTGAAATATCTGAAAAATAAATCTAAAAAATAAATAAAAACTACACAGCTAAGGAATGCACTCCCTGATTTTGGTTTTGAAATAGAATCATACAACAAAGGAATGCATTCCTCAATTTTGCTTTCGACATAAATAAAAATCACTCAACAAAAGGAATGCATTCCTTGATTTTGGCTTTAAAATACATCAAAATCATACAACAAAGGAATGCATTCCCCCATTTTGATTTTGAAATAAATTAAAATCATACAACAAGGAATGCACTTCCTGATTTTGGTTTTGAAATAAATCAAAATCACAAGGAATGTTTTATTCCCTTTAATTTCTGCCTTCTTGTCCCTGTGGTGCTGGAGGCCTTTATCATTCCAAAGGGAAATAAAGATTATTGGAATATTTGCCCACCTGCCATCCCTGGAAGTGTCCAAGCCAGGCTGGAGCACCTGGGACAGTGGAAGTGAGATGAACCTAAAGGTGCCTCCAGCCCACCTCACCCCATGGATTTAGGATCATTTGTGGATGCAGAATAGAATTCCCCTAATGGTGCAATGGCAGCATCACCCTGTCCTTGGAATATTTTTTTCCAAGGAATTTGGCAGAACTGATCCTGTTCCCACTGGAGCCCCACAGCCCCAGCCCCACCCTGCCCTTGGAAAAATTTTTCCCTGGAATTTGAAACTTACTCTGCCACCACAGGTAATGCAGAGCCAGCCCCATGATACTCTGAGCTGGGAGGCTGCAGGGAGAGAATTCCATGGGATTTCACCCATGGAAGAGGAGAGGGATTGGCACTGGGATTAAAGGATGGGGGTCCTGATGGCTTTTTGGGGTTTTATTATCCCACCCCATCCTTCCTCTTACAGCCCCAGCACAAAAACCCATTGAAATTCCAGCACTTTGTGGGTAAAGCTGTGGAAAATTCCAATTAATCCATATGCCAGGTCAGGGAGATTCCTGCCAGCTGGGGCTCGAGGTTATCTTCACTCCAGCTGCACACTCCATGCAAATATTAAAAGACATTTTAAAGCCATGCTTTAAATGCATCCACACAAAACTCTCCACTCCCCACTGGCTTATCTGGCCCACCTGGAGGGCTCAGAGTATAAAATGGTTTCCAGCTCACAAGCAGCACTTTCTGTCCAAGCACCTGCAAAATTCTGGTTTTGTTCATGGGGCTGAAGGTGAAAAATCAGTTCTCTGAGCCACTGAAGCAATAAAAGAATAAAACCCCTCTCTATTGGAGCTTCCTGAGGCACCAGCAGGGTTTAGCTCCTGGTTTTAATGAACTTTGGGAGTATCAGGGTGCAGAACCGTGCTCCCATCAGAGAGGACACAGCCACTCACCTAATGAAAGATCTCACCTGCTGCTCAATAATCTCATTTATTGGGCACTTTACAGCACAGCACTTTGCTGTGTTTTTTCAACCTTTTTCTCTTTCTAGACAGGAATGGACAGTGACGATTTGTGGGTGTAAGAGGGATTTTGCTTGGTAACTCACACAGAGGAGTAAAGGCAGGGATTTGGATAAACCATACAGAGGCACAGCTCCCACTGTGCCCAAGTGTCAGATTAAGCTTTTTTCTGACCCAGAGATGGGGTAGCTGAGAGGAATTTTAAAAACTTTTATTCCATTTTCAGTCTCATGTGAAGGGTGAGACAACAGAGATAATACAGTTATAATTCACACCATCACAATCAGAAGCCAACTATTTCCTAATTAATAAATATATTATAAGCGTTTCTTGGCTTATCAGCTTTGGCCACACCATATTGTAAATGCCTTAAAACCAATAATATAAAATTACCCCTCATGGGTCTCCCACTACAATGCATCTTTCATAGCTCTATTTCTCCAAAGTATCCAGTCTTATTTGCAAGGCCATCCTTTAAAACTTGTTTCTAGCTCCATTTCTCTCTCAACGATGTCTGTCCTATTCCATGGCATTTCTAAGTCAGCATTTCTTATCTCAAAGTTTCCCACACCCAAGAAGAGCCCAACGAGGCAGATTTGGGATTTGGCAGATTTTCTGGGCAAGCCTCGCTTCAGAGCCTTTTACCTTGAGGACGAGCACAGCCACAAAGGCGATGGTGAAGGTGATCATCACTTTATTGTAAATGCCTTAAAGCCAATAATACAAATTTACCCCTCATGGGTCTCCCACTACAATGCATCTTTCATAGCTCTATTTCTCCAAAGTATCCAGTCTTATTTGCAAGGCCATCCTTTAAAACTTGTTTCTAGCTCCATTTCTCTCTCAACGATGTCTGTCCTATTCCATGGCATTTCTAAGTCAGCATTTCTTATCTCAAAGTTTCCCACACCCAAGAAGAGCCCAACGAGGCAGATTTGGGATTTGGCAGATTTTCTGGGCAAGCCTCGCTTCAGAGCCTTTTACCTTGAGGACGAGCACAGCCACAAAGGCGATGGTGAAGGTGATCATCACTTTGGCATATTCCTCTGCTGGCAGCTTCTCCAGGGCTGGCAAAGAGCCCTGGGGAAAAGGAAGAAGGTTTCAGCCCAAAACACTCAGGTCTTAGCCCAAAACACTCAGGTCTCAGCCCAAAACACTCATTCCCTCTGCCAGGGGCACCCGACAGGGAGGGGTTCAAGGTTCAGGCAGAGCAAGGAATGAGGGATTTTCACTGGCAGCAGGATCACAGGGATATTGTTTTCCTCCTGCTGTTTCCTTCCATCTGTTCACAACAACATTGGGGTGGGACTTATTAAATAAGACTGTTTAATAAAGATGAAATTTGAAGCATTTTCCATGCAGGCAGCTCCCCCTGAATCACTTTGCTCTGCAATTTGCATCCATCAGATTCCTACAAGGAGAAACAGGGTCTATATTTAAGAACATGGGAGCTGTCAGTCAGGAGCAGCACTGGGGAGAGCACAGAAAACCCTCTTTGTTGTCAAACTGAGCAGTTCTGGATGCTCCAGAGAAGCTGCACAGCCATGGAATGGGAATTTATAGTAGTTCTCATGTGGGAAATGAGCAGAGCTGGCTCCAGACCTACCCCACTGTCCACAGGCTTGAGGCTGAGGTAGGTGGGCACCTCCATGTAGGAGCTGCACAGGGTGAGGATGCTCAGGCAGAAATCCAGCAGCTGCAGCGCCAGCAGGGGAGTCCTGGAGTGGCCCTGCTGAGGGGACAGGAATTGGGTTACAATCACAGGATGGGGTCACTTCTGCAGATTATTCACACTTACACAGAGCTTGTGGCTGGTTCACACGGAGTCTAAGCCACTAAATTCCCTTAAATTCAACCCAAACCTTCCCTTCTGCTGGCCCAAAGAGTGAGCAAACTGTTTGTGGGGCTTCATCGGAGCGCCACGGAAGCCTCTGGCCAAAGCAGTGACAATCTCAGTTTATCTCCAGTGATGCCTTGGGAAGGCTGACCTAGAACTGAAACTAGACAGCACTAAAGAATAAAGTAGGGATTTATTAAGAGGTCTGAATAGATCCACTTTGGGCAGCACAACCCAAAATGGCCACAGGTCTCCCTGCTCTGTGCAGAGAGCTCACCATCCCCTAATGAGAAGCCCAGACCCACACATTAAAGCAGCACAGAATCTGAAAAATAGAAAAGCTAAACCTGAGGCATCACTAGAAAACCCCTCCTGTTGGGGGCACACCCAGAGCCACCTCCTTCAAAGCCAGGAGAAAATCAACATTTCAAGACAGGGGAAGATAAATATCCCAGGTGCCACTGGTTTCCTTCAGCCTCCAAGGATTGCATCCTGTCTAGCCAGCAGAAAGCACCTCACATCTGGATTCAGGATCCTAAAAGTCTTTTCCAAACTAAAGGATTCCATGACAAAACACAGCTCAAGGTAACGATCCTTTATTCCAACCTTCCAGGATCCTAAAGATCTTTTCCATCCTAAATGATTTCATGAAGAATTGCAGCCCAAGATAATGATCCTTTATTCTAACCTAAAGGATTCCATAAAGAACCACAGCCCCAGGTAACCATCCTTTACTCCAACCTAAAGGATTCCATGAAGAACCATAGCTCAGGTTAACCATCCTTTATTTCAACTGTCCAGGGCCCTAAATGCATTTTCCATCCAAAAGGATTCCATGACAAGCCATAGCCCAAGGTAATGATCCTTTATTCAACCTTCCAGGACCCTTTTTCACCCTAAATTATTCCATGAAGAACCAGAGCCCAAGATAGTAATCCTTTATTTCAACCTTCCAGGACCCTAAAGGTCTTTTCCAACCTAAAGGATTCCATGACAAACCACAGCCTGGGGTAAAGATCCTTCATTCAAACCTAAATGATTCCATGAAGAACCACACCCCAAGGGAAGGATCCTCCATTCCATGTATTCCCCACCTCCGGAAAGCCAGAAGCCCCCAGGAGGTGAGAAATCTTTGCTTCTTTTCTGCCAAGGTCAGGGTTAAATTGTGCGATGGTATTTCTCAGATGTTTGTTAGTTCTTATCTCTGTCACAGTCCCACAAACCCTGAGTTCTGCAGCACTTCACTCTAACACACTAAAAACGAAGCTCCATCTTTCCCTCTACAAGGCCTTTTAAGGATGAACTGTCCAATTAAGAAATGACACCTAAATTATTTTTACTTTTAACCCAATAACCTGTGCCTGCAATGCAGACTTTTTATCCAATTACACAAAACCACCGAAACCCATGGAGAAGAAGGTGGAGAAGGAGAAGGAGAAGGAGAAGGAGAAGGAGAAGGAGAAGGAGAAGGAGAAGGAGAAGGACCAGCCTCTACCCCAAAACCTCCATCTTGCTTTATATCTGTTACTACATTCTAAAACCCCAAACTCTGAGTTTCCCACCCTGTGACATCACACACTTCTATTCAAACCTCACACCCACAATCCCAGCTCTACCATTCCATTTTGGAAGCTTCTCCACGGCCTCAGGTCAGTGCAGTGTTCTCCTGGGGGTCAGTGCCTGGCAGCACAGAAAGTCTCAAATTCTCAGTGACCAGGGCTCCAATGAGGAGGAGCTGTCACCACCCAGAAGCCCCCGGGAGGAAGAGCTGTCACCCACCGTGTGGCTCAGGGAGGACACGGAGATGACCGCTGGCACCTGGATGTAGGAGCTGAACATGGTCAGGAGGCTGAGGAGGAAATCGATGACTTGCAGAGCCAGGAAGGGGATCAGGAGCCGCTCCCTCTTCTGAGGAGGAAAAGCAGTGCTGGTTATTTATTAGATAACCATGATATACAATGGTTATTTCCATTCCAAGTGGGAAATGAGACCAGCTGGCAACACCTGGAAGGACTTAGATGGTGCTCCAAGAATTAACGTTTCCCTGGAATTTCTGATTTCAGTGACAACCCGATACAAAGAAAATCATCAAAGCTGATGTTTTTCACCTCTTTGGAAAATTCCTGTGAATTCTCACTCTGTGACACTGGCACTTCCCATGAGAGCTGTCATCCCACTGTCCCTGAAATTCACCTCTGCAGAGGGAGAACTGGGTTCAGATTCCTGGAGTTTCCAGCCCCAGGCCTGGTCATTCCTCCTCCTGCACTGGGAAATGGGTCCCTACAGCAGCAGGGCAGTGACAGTTCTCTCACAGTGACAGTTCTCTCTGACTTGCAACAGGGCAAGGAAACGAGGCAAGAAAACCTTTCTAAATCATAAAATCTCCTTCATTTAACACCAGACACAGCCCCGATGGAAATGCTGCCCAGGTCTGGTAAATCTAGGTGTTTAAAGCTTTTCACGGGAACCTGAGGCTTCAAACAAATCCCTCTCCCCCTCTGGAACCAGGAGACATTTTTATCTGCCTTTTTTTTTCCTGTGTGATTCTGTGATTTTTATCTGCCTTTTTTTCCCTGTGTGATTCTGTGATTCTGGGATTTCTATCTGCCTTTTTGCCTGTGTGATTCTGTGATTCTGGGATTTCTATCTGCCTTTTGTCCCTGTGTGATTCTGGGAGGTTTTCCTGCGTTTTTTTGACCACAATTCCAGTGATCACCATCCAAACCTTGAGTGTCATTTGTGGGGAACGTACCTTGAGCACCCCGAGCAGGAGGTGGAAGCTGATGACAAACAGCATAAGGATCAGCAGGAAACTGGTGGTGATATCAGCTGAAAAGGATAAAAATGATAAAAGGAATTACCACATCACCAAAAGATGTCCCAACTCCACCCCACCCATAAGGGAGGGTTCAACCTGTCACAAAGATTTGTGTCTGTACGGGAATTATTGCCATGCAGCTGGAATTAACCTTCTTTTCCCTTTTTACACCCATTTTTATCTCTCTTTGAAGTTCCCATATCCACCAGGCACTGTGGGTTGTGAGCTCGGGGGATCCAAGGCCTGAAAATGTTAAATACCCCAGGCTACAAGATGAAGAATTAAAAAACCCAGAGTGCTTTTGGCTCATAGCTCTGAGCTGGAAATTATTTAGAGGCTGAAAGGCAGAAAAAGGAGCCGGCAGTGAAGTGCTGAAGGATCTTCAGAATCTCCCAGAGAAGAGTAGGAATTTTCACCCCAGGGAGGGTGGGGAATATTTCCCCCCAACTCTGCAGCTGTGGGATGCTGTGTGAGGGGGTTTAGGGTGATTTTTGGCGGCTGCTTTGGGTGCAGGAGGTAATGTTTTATATTCACAGAGCTCCTGCTCAACCTTTGCCTGGAAGCAATTTTGCCTCCTGGAATCACAGCCTGCCCTGGTGCTGATTCACCTCTCCAGAGGCAAAACTCTGCTGCTTTTTTTGTCTCTGCACAACCTTTCCCAGAGCTTCCTCCAACTCCTTTACTTCTGTTTCACCTGAGTTTAAATCAGCACTGGCCAGTTTGGGTTCTTCAATTCCTAAGTGCTTCAAGAAAGGGTTTAATTCTGCTAGAAAAGAGCCAAATTTTTAATTTTTCTGTCTTTTTTTTTAAAGCAGATGATCCTTCCCGTAGGTGCACAGGACTGATGGCCCTTGGGGGTCCCTTCCAGCTGAGGATATTCCACACAACCATGAGTAAATCCAGTGTCTAACTCTGTTTTATCCAATACCCCCCCACTGTTTTCATAAAGAACACTGGGAATTGTGCCTGTAGAATCCCTGTCACATTCAGGCTGCTCTGAAATCCTTAACTGCTCCATATCACCTTTTTTTCCCAAGAAAATTCACCTCCATCTCCCCCAGCTCTGAGTGTTCACCTGGAGTTTTGGTGCCCCTTTGGTGAGGGAAGATTTCAGTGCTTGGGCAGACCCCGACTCATCCTTTATTCCCTTTCTAGAAGTAGATATTCTTTATTCCAGTAAATATTTCTTAATTAAATATATTTCTTTTTGTTTGGTTGTTTTTTGTGGCTTTTTTGGAGGGCATTTTTTTTGCGGGGGGTGGTTTTTTGGTTTTTTTTCCCTTTGTTTTGGTTTGGTTTTGGGGTTTTTTTGTTGCCAAGAGGATGAAATCATTCCTAAAGACGTCAAGGCAGAGAAACTTGTCCCTGTTTTTCAGGCAGGTGACCCCAGCAATGACAACTTTATCAGAATTTGGACATTTGCTGTGTTTAGGGGGAAACACAAAGATTCTCCCCAGGGTAAAGGGACAGAAATCTACCCCCAGCTCCAGAAAGGACTAAAAATGTCACTGAGAAGCTCTGGAACAATTCCAGGTTTGTTGAAAACCTTCCTGAGCCACATCTGGGCAGGTGGCAGCAGCAGTGCCACCCCTCCCATCCTCCCTCTGCTGACAGAGTTCATTTAAATGCAATTTAAATTCACTTCAATTGATACAAAAGGGATTTTCAATTCCCCTGCTATCTTCTCTTTAAATCTCCTTCAGAAATGAGCTTTGCTGATGGGAAACTTTCAGTGTGCAAAGAAGCCCTGCCCAGCACTTCCTCCTCCCAGCACGAGGAGCCTCTTCCTTCCTCAGGCTTGGGGGAAAAACCCTCTGGGGAGACTGTAACCCCCCAGGAACCAAAAAAGCTGATCTCGAGGGGGACTGGAGCCATCTGGAGGGGTGGGATACAGGGAATGATCCAAATTATCCACTCATCCTGCACCAGGAAAGAAGGGCTGTAATGGTGCAAAGCAAGGAAAAGGATTTTCCTCATAACCTGGTAAAACCCCAGTGAATTTAGAACAGCACTGGGGTGGGACTGGGATCAATAATTCAGTAAATATGACGTGATTAAACACAAACCCCATTAAACACAGCACTGAGACCTCTGAGAGCACAATATCCTGACTAGGAAAGGAAATCATGGCCTTGATGTCATTTTCTAGAGCAGGTTATAAAATCTGGATTCCATGAATTCAGCGTAATGCTGGGATGGAACTGGGATCAGTAATCCAGAAAATATAAAATGATTAAACATAAAATCCATTAAAACACAACACTGGGACCTCTGAGATCACAATATCCCCAGGCAGGAAAGGAAATGATGGCTTTGATGACTGCTTTTTTATGGCTGCTGCTCCCCAGGCCGTGGGAACTGAGACCCACAGGAGGCAGAAATCTCCTTAAACAACGAAGAGAGAACCCCAAACCCAGCAAACCCCGAGGGAAAGGGGGAAAGGGCTTTGCCTCCTGGAGAAAATCTGGAACACAAAGGGCATCTCCCTCCAAAGGCAGCCGATGCTGCTTTCCTTCTGCTCCCACGGGTGTGGGAAAGGGAATTCCAATTGGAATTCCAAGGCAGAACAACAACCCCAGCTTTGAGGAGCAGGGGAGTAGAACCACAGTTGGGATGTGGGACACAAAGAGCCAAAGATTAACAGGGAACAGCCTAAACCCAAAACAGATCTTTAAAAAGCCAGACTCAGCCTTTGTGGGACAGCCCTGAAGGAGCCAATCCCAATCCCATTAAAAGCCAGACTCCCAAAGCCTTTTCCCTAAAGGAACCAATCCCAACCCCATCAAAGCCCAATCTCCCAAGGCCTTTTCCCCTGGGTTTTGCTCAGCACCAGCACTCGGGAGTTTGCCCTGAGAGAATTTCTCTCCTTATCCCAGGATTTTCTGGGGTCCAGCATAGCCACATTTTCCTGCCCCTCTCTCTCCATGGGCTCCTGCTCCAGCTCTCTGGCAGGATCCCTAATTAATTGGGAAGTGGCCATTGCCAGCTAATTGCTCAGCTGGATTTTCCAAGCAGAACCTGGATCAACCCCTCCCCAGACAAAACCCCCACAATCCCACAAACACAACGGGATGGAAACAAAAGGAAAACCAAGGGAAAACAACTTTCCACGAGCTGGCTGCCTCCTATTTATTCCCAGGAAACAGAGTCATCCTCCCTGCTGGCAGCAAGGATGGGTTGGTGCCATGGATGAAAAACCAGAAATTGCAACCAAAACAAGAAATTCCCAACCCCTTCCAAACAAACAAAACAAAACCCCCCAAACAAACAAAAAGCCAAACAAAAAACACAAAAAAACCACCAAACAAGTAAGAGCTCAAACCAACAAACAAACAAAAAAAACCCAACAAAAACACAAAACCAAAAAATCCAAACAAAAATCTCAAACAAACATAACCCCAAACCAACAAACAAAAAAAACCCAAAAAACAAAACAAAAAGTCCAAGGCAACAAATACCCAACAAACAAAAAACCCAAATACACAAACAAACAAAATCCCCAAATAAAAAAACCAATCAACCAAAACCAAATAAACCAACCAAACAAACAAACTCCCAAACTCACAAACATAAACAAAACAAAACAACAACAACAACAACAAAACACAAAAAAAAAAAAAAACCAAAAAAAAAAAAAAAAAAACCACAAAAAAACCCAAAAAATACCAAAAAACACCAACGCAAACAAAAACCCAACCCAAACAACCCCCACAAAACAGCAAAACAACCAAACACTGAAAGAGGAAGGAAACCCTTGAGGTCACACTTACATCAAGTTCTTCAATTCCCATCAAAAACTGGAAGTGGGAACATGTTTTACAGGGATGGATGGATGGCTGGATGGATGGATGGATGGATGGATGGATGGATGGATGATGGGTGGATGCTCCTGGTTTCCTTGTGCTGATCCCAGCCCTGGCTCTGGAGCCTGCTGGGTCATTCCCTGCTGGGTCATTCCCTGGGAAAGCTCTGCAGGAAGGAGTTTCCACCCTGCACTGGGGGCTGAGCTGAGCAGAGCAGCCTCCAATCCATGCACAGGAATATTTGGGAATACTGGTCCATGGGAAACGTAGGAACCATTGCACTGCCCCTTGTTCGGGTTCCTATCAGCAGGACTCATCTAAATTCCCATTTTTTGCTTACTGCTGATGCCCTTCCCCTTGGAACAGTGTGATTAAAATCCCTTCCAATCTGGACATTCCATGATTCTGTAGGATCAGCCAAACCTTTGAGTGCTGATGTCAAACAGCTCTGGGGGATCCTGCCTCTTTCCTTGAAAATGCCTCTTTCCTTGAAAAAACCTGAAGCCAGCTTTTATAGGTTTGGTGCTTTCCCCTATTTCTGACTCCTGTCCTGTGGACAGGAGAGTTTGGAATGTGCAGGAACCTGTACTCAGCTTCCTTTTCCTCCACATACTGGGAACAGGTTTTCAGCCCAGGAACAGCCTCTCTGGAAAACCACGGAACAGCAATTCCTGGCTGCCAGGGGTTGTGTTTTCTCTCCGTGGGCATGGACGGGGCAGGGAGGGGGCCTAGGTTTCTTGCTTTTGTTCCCAGGGTTCTCTCAGCTTGTGGTTTTTCACAGAAAATGACTCAAGAAAGGAAAACCCCCCTGCACTTGTTTCCAAACAGCTCTGGCAGAACATCCTGGTTGGGCAATATCTGAGGACTTTGGGTTTTTTAGATGGCACCTCATGAGACAGCTCAGGGTCTTTGCAAGGATCTGAGCTGCATCCTTCTGGAATTGTGAGCTATGGGACAGCTTGGCTGCCTCTTCCAGCCACCAGTATTCTGGAAAAATACACCACAGGCTGGGAAAATCTGGGAATGGGGGTCACAGTGGGAGGGAGGTGTGGTGTGGCTCTGTCCAGCTGAAAGGCAGGAGATCCATGGCAATGGCTTCATGGCAATGGCTCCATGGGAATGGCTCCATGGCAATGGCTTCATGGGAATGGCTCCATGGCAATGGTCCCATGGCAATGGCTCCATGGGAATGGCTCCATGGGAATGGCTCAGTGGGAAAGACTCCATGGGAAAGGCTCCATGGGAAAGGCTCCATGGGAATGGTTCCACGGGAATGGCTCCATGGGAATGGCTCCATAGAAATGGCTCAGTGGGATCAGCTCTGTGGGAATGGCTCCACGGCATGGAGGGGTGTCAGTGTGTTGGTGGCAGTGTCCTACAGCCCACACATCCATGGGATCAGTGTGGGGTGGGATTTGTCCCCTCTGTCTATTGAGCAGTTCTGGGACACTTCAGCATTTCCCTGGAAATGTCCAGAACGTGAAGAAAGTGTGTGTGAGGCTGGAATGATCCACAGCTGGGGAAAAGGAAGAGGATTGCCAGAGGAATCGACAGGAGATTCCAGAGGGAGCTGAAGGACTCTGCAGGTGCTGCAGAGTTTGGGCTGATCCTTTGAAATACAAACTTCTCTGGACTCCACATTGATCTCCAATAAATCAAAACCCAAACAGTGCCTAAATTGCTTCCTGAGCTTTTGATCCAGAACTCCAAATTCTTTGATGGAAAAGGCAGAGGGAGCAATGAAAGACTGAGGGATCCCTCCCTGCCCCACAGCTGCTTCCCAGCATTCCCAGGACCTACCAATTCTGTAGTAATCCTTGTCCAGGTCTTTGCAGAAGCCCTTCCCATTGGCCACCTCCAGGGAATACTCGATCAGAAGCAGGACACTCATGACCTGGAAAACAAAGCAAAAAACACAATTCAGGGGCCTAGGGCCAAATTCCCAGCTGTGAATTTATTTCCAGGGAACCTGGATGGATGAGTTGCCAAGTGAGCCAAACACAAAGGGTTTAAATCCCAGGAAATTCTGAGACAACAGTTATCAGTTTATTAATATATTTGATTTAACTGCCAGCAGAAGGAGGATGGAGAAATGACAAAAGCAGTGAGTTTTGTTTCAATGGTTTTTATCCAGGTTTTATGTTTTGAAATTGCTTTTTGCTCCAGAGTTTAGGAAAATGCAATACCAGTATTCCAAACCATAAAAAGAAACACAAAAAAAGATTTAAGATCTCCCTGTAAGTGCAACTGTGCCACTCCACTGACAAAACCATCACTTTCCTTCTTTTATTATTTGAGGAAATTCTCCAAATGTTCTTTTTTCATATTGAACTTGAATGATTCTCCCCAAGTTTTCCAAGTGGACCATCAAACCCCAGCCTCCAGGGCTCATTCTGTCCAGAGTTTAATGAGCTGGGAGATGGAGGGAGGTCCACAGCTGTGGGCTCAGTCCTGGCCCTGAACTTCTGCACTCAGCCAGGGATGTCTGAGCCCAGCTTAGGAGATCTTCTTGGAATCAGGGAATCCCAGAAAGGATGGAACTTGCTGGGTTATTCCCTGCTGGATTATTTCCTGGGAAAGCTCTGAAGGAAGGGATCTGCACCCTGCACTGGGGGCTGAGCTGAGCAGAGCAGCCTCCAATCCATCCACGGGAATATTTGGGAATATTGCTCCATGGGAAACGTGGGAACCATTGCCCACATTGGAAGGGATTTGCTCATGCATTGGAAGGGATTGGAAAGCTCATCCCATCCCACCCCTGCCATGGGCAGGGACACCTTCTACTGTCCCAGGCTGCTCCTAGCCCCAATGTCCAACATGGTCCTGGACACTTCCAGGGATTCAGGGGTAGCCACAACTGCTCTATCCATCCCTCTGTGTATCCCTGAGTGTCCCTGTGTGTCCCTGGCTGTCCCTGTGTGTCCCTGTGTGCAGAGGTCAGAGCAGGCCCAGGCTCTGCTCCAGGCCCAGCAATGGCGCCTGAGGCCAGGAGCTGCCCCTGCCCAGGAGGCAGAACTGCCCTGAGCAGAGCCCACAGAGGGGCTGGAGTCTCCTCCCTGGGACATTCCAGAGCCACATGGACACTCTGCTGTGCCCTGGGCTCTGGGATGGCCCTGCTGGAGCAGGGAGTGGCACCAGTGACCCTGGGGTCCCTCCAGCTGACCCTCTCCATGACCCCAAGCCCTCTGGCCCTGCTGTGATGCAGAAGCCAGGCCCTATCTGCCACCCACATCAGCACCAGCTCAGGCAGAGCTGAAACAATTTTTCCACCAGAGCTGCACCAACCTTTCACTTCAACCACAGCCTGAGCAGCACCGTGGGTGAGGAGGAAGTGGCACCACTGCGGTCTAGGCTTGTGTTTGCAAGCTGGGGCTGCTGGAACAGCACAGAGCCAGCTGCTGCACGGGATGGGGCTGGGCACAGGATGTGTCTGGGTGTTCAGAGGGATCCAGACACACTTTGGGCAGTGGGGATGCCCAGCCAGGGGAGCTGAGCTGCCCTTGCAAAGGAGCTATGGGAGGGAAGGCTCTGCCTTGCCCCAGAAAGGGGGAAGTGAGGCTGGGAGGTGACAGGAGCTGAGCACAGCCTCTCTCTCTGCCTCTATGTCAGATGCAAAAGACTTAGAAATAATTTCAAACCAAATTCATCAAATTTCTGAGCCCCCAGCTGAAGCTCCCAGAACTGTGGCACTCCCAGAGCAAGCACCCACCAAGCCATGCTGGGCTGTGAGGGGACTGGGAGCCCCTGTCTACCCTGTCACTCTGAATTTAAAATTCTGTCCAGAGTCTGAGTGTGAAGGAAGGATGTGTCAGGTTTTCCCTGGGCCTGTCTGATACCAGCTTGTTCAAGAGTCACTCTGCTGTCTTCCCTTTTTTTTCAATTAAGTAAATGAACTTTGCAATTTGCTCATGAGCTGGCAGGAAAAGGAGGAATATCCAGATCTCATTACACGAGGACACGACAAAGTTAACACGAGTTCAGCTTAATGGAACAGCATTGCAGCTCCCAGGGCAGCTCTGAACCCTGTCAAGGATGAAATTGCATCGATCCAAAGTGTCTTACAGCTGCTGGTGTCCTTTGGGAGGAGAGGGATCTCTTAATGAAGACACATGGAGATCACACCTGACTGCAAGGTGGCTGAGAGGTTTTGTGTTCAGGCTCCCAAACACGTTTTGCTTCCTTTATTTCTGCTGTTGGTCCAACCCCTCAATTGCCAGCTTGAGAAATACGGGCAGAAATTGCTTTTTCATGTTCCACTTAAAAGGAGGTCTGAGAAAAATGGATGAGCTGGGACCTAAATATCAGTTTTGTTCTGAAAGAGGAGTGGGTGAGAGCAGGGCAGCAAACCCCAAATTCCCCCATCCCATCCAGCAGATTCAGAGGCTGAAGCTGAGCAGGAGAAACCCTCTCTGATGTCTGCCAGAGAAAAACAAGGCTGGTGAGGAAATGAGCCACACAACCCAGACCAAGCACAGTCACACAAGATAAGGACATAGTAGGAAACCCCAGCCCAGCCTGGGAGATTCAGGAGACTTTTAAGGCAAAAGCTGGTTTAAAATTTTCTATTTTGTGTAGAAGGAAAGAAGCACTGAGCTGCGAGCAGGTGGAGACCTCCAGGCCTTTCCCTTGGCATGCAGAGCCACGACAGCACAGGACACCTCTCCAGCAGCTGCCTTTGGCACGCTGGGATGTGGAGCCTTCCTTATTCCTGCAGGGAATGCACTTCCAAAGGATGAACCCTCTGCAGAGGGGCCTTTTGGGAGGAAGGCAGAGGAGGATGGATGTGGTGCCTGCCCTGCACTCCTTGCTCAGCTACTCCCACTGCAGATCCACCCCTCAGCTCCAGCAGAAACCAAAAACTTCTCATTTCACACAGAGAACTACCCAGTTCCTTTTCCCTTTGCAATGCCACAGCCGAAGAAATGCAGGTTTAAAATAGAGCATTTCACTTCCAGGTACTCCATTCCCAGCCCCTCTCCAGCCCTACCTCCCTGATCTACTAGAGCTGGAACTTTTGTTGCTGCCTGTCTGTAAAAGGAGCTTCACATTTCTCGGTGGAAGAAATTTGAATCCCCAGGAAAGGAACGACTGGAGCTGGGCCAGAGCAGCTCAGGCTGGAGATCAGGGCAAGGTTCTTCCCCCAGAGGGTGCTGGCACTGCCCAGGCTCCCCAGGGAATGGGCACGGCCCCGAGGCTGCCAGAGCTCCAGGAGCCTTTGGACAGTGCTGCCAGGGATGGACAGGGTGGGACTGTTGGGGGGTCTGGACAGGGGCAGGAGCTGGACTTGAGGATCCTTGTGAGTCCCTTCCAGCTCAGGACACTCTGTGATTCTATGATATGCTGAAATAATGTAGGACTGAGATAAACCCAGTCATTAAATCAAGTGAGATAAATTAGGGTGTCTTGAAGATAGAATCTGACACACAGAGCCCCTGTTCCCCAGGGTCAATCCTGCTGCAGCTGCAGTGGGGTTAAACTGCTCTTAGAGGTCATTTTGTATTTTTTTTTTTTTTAATATTTGCAGCTTGACTGATGTCCAGGTGATTTATCTCATGTATGTGGCCCTGGTGCGAGGCTGCTCCTCTGCTGCTTCACAGCAGGGGTTTCTGCAAGGGGAGCTTGAAGCCATGGGGAACAGCAGCCCCTGGGGACAGGGACAGTGTGCTCTGGGTGCTGGAGTGTTCTGGGGACACTAGCACAAAGAGCACCACCCAAAAACGCTGCCCTGTCAGAGCTTCTCCTTTTCTCTCTTGAATTTCCAAGCGGCTCTTGTGGCAGCTGGAGATGAAATGAGGAGTTCTTTGAGTTCTCATTTGGTTTCCTTTCACATTTCATCTTCTCCTTCTGCCTCCTTGGTTGAGCTGCTCCAGGAGACGCAGCTCAGGCTCTGTGGGACCCCTGGGTCAGCCCCACCCTGGTGAGAGCTCAGTGAATCCCACTCTGAGCTCACCTGAGTTGTGTCCAGAGGACAGGGCCTGGGAGGGTTCCAGAAGGGAATTTCTGCTCTGTCAGTTACAGAGCTGCCAAAGAGAGGGGCTGGAGTGCAGCTGAGGCCAGACAAGGTGCAGACGCTGCTTCCCAAGGCTCCTCTGGTTCCAATCAAGGAACAGCAGGAGAGAAATTCTGTTCTTGCACTGGAGCAGGTTTCCAGCCTGAGCTTAAATCTCCCTGTCAAACACCTTGAGGCCTGAGGAGCAGAACAAACTCCCCAGTGCTGTCCTTGAAAGGCACCTGCAGGTCACCTCGCCACAGCCAGCAGAGCTTTGCTGATCACACACCCCCATCCTCTCCTCACTCCCCTCCTTCTTTCCTGTCTATTCCAGAATGCCCAGGATTTATTTCAGTTGTCTCTGAAGAGATCAGCAGTGAGGCAGAGCTGATTTATGGGAGGAAAACACCTTGCCACAGAGCCTGAGAGCTCTTTGGTGGCACAGCTGTCACCCAGCATGTCTGGGATTCATCCCTGGCACCTGCAGCAGGAATTTATCCTGATGCAAAGCCCCAGAACTGATGGAGCAAATCAGCCAAGGTATAAATTCCCTTTTCCCTTTCCCTCCCCCTGCCCAGCTGCTGCCGCACCATCAAAAAAGGGAGAGAAGAGGCAGAGGGAGAAGTGATGGGTATTGTGTGATATCTCTTAAAGACAAGATCTATCCAAAAATTACCCTGTTTTCCAAGGGCAAGAGGAATGGTAGAGCTCCTGCTGCTCTGGGGAAGAGGGGGGACCTTGGAATGTCCTTCCTGTGCCACAGCTGCTGATCCCATGGGATTTCTGCAGGCTGCAGGTCCCGGTCCTCAGCTCCCTCTCTGCTGTCCAAGGAGTGGTAAGAGCCCCATTATCACCCCAAGGGCCCAAAACCCTGACTGTGCACACCCAGAGCTGGGGGGGACCATGGAATATCCTTCCTGTGCCACAGCTGCTGATCCCATGGGATTTCTGCAGGCTGCAGGTCCCCAGCTCCCCCTCTGCTGTCCAGGAGCCTGTGAGAGCCCTGTTACCACCCCAAGGGCTCCCAAACCCTGACTGTGCACACCCAGGGCAGCACAGGGGCTATTTTAATAACCCAGCCATGCAAGAAACCACATCCTCAGGACAGCTGAAAGCACCTAAACCTCCTCAGTGCCACCAGGAGCGTGGGAGAGAGGGGCCTCCAGGCTCTCCTGGTCTGCCATCCCTGCCCTGAACAGCTTCTAGACACGGCCATGATCCCAATGGAAACCAAAAGAGACCCAGAGGAGGCAGCTCTGCCCATCACCCTCTGCTCATCCAACTCCCAAATCCCTCCAGTGCCCCATTCTCACATTCCCACTGCCAGTGCTGCCCATTCCCACCCAGCAGGCTCTGGATATACTCAGGTAGGAGCTCCTGCACTGAGCAGAAAAACAGAAAGCAGAGCGAGTTTCCCTGAGCTCCAATTGGCAGAGCCAGGAAAAAATTGTTCAAAACCCCTCCCAGTGCAGCAAATTCTGCTTCTCCCTGTCCCCCACCACCTTTTGTTCATCCCTCTTAACTCATTGGGTTTTCCTTTTGGGAACAGAGAACATTCCAGTGTCAGGGAACCCTGTGAACCACAACAATGCACCTCCTGGAGAGGTTCCACCTCTGTTTTCCTGTCTCCCTGTTCCCCTTCCAGAACTCACCATATGGAAGATCCCCAGGGCCACTGTCGCTGTCTTGATGTTGAAGCAGCAGCATTTGGGGGGCTCAGGGGGGGTTTGGGGCGTCATTTTTGGGTCCCTCTGAGCGCTCCTGAGTTAATGAGGTCGGATTTGCAGCCGCCCCACAGAAAGCGAAGCGAGAGCAGCTCGGCTTCCTTCCTGCTCTCTGAATGTGTGAAGTCATCTACAAAGTCACATGAGGCCTTTGGGTTTCTCAATCACAAAGAAAGCAAAACTGGGGGGCTTTTGAGCACATCCAGCTGAGAAATCAGAGCCCCAGTGCTTTGTCCAGCATGGGGTGTCAGGAGTGGACCATCGGGAGCAGGACCAGGCTTTGTCCTACAAAAATCCTCAGGAACAAAACAGGGGCCAGGAATTTCACCTCAAACTCACCCTGCTGTTTTTGCAGCAAAGCATCCAAGTTCCTCCCTTTGGAGCTGGCGTTCCCTGCCAGCAAAGGCACTGTTCCCTGGAGCTGCTGCTGGAGCAGCCCTGGGCTCTGCAAGGAGGAAGAGGAGGATGGCAGAGGGTGTTGATGCCTTTTTGAGGCTACCTAAAAATACAGGCCAGACAGAATTGAGGGAATAAAAAGCAATTATATTTATTGAAGAGCCTTCAGGTACCTTTTGGGCATACAAAGCCCCCAGAGGCTACACCCAAAAATGGACCAGGGGTCACAGGTTTTCACACTTTTATAAGTTTGTTCCATTTGCATACTGGGGGTTGCTCTTCCAATTACAGCTTCAGCTAATGAAGTCATTTACCCCAAGTTTGCTGCCTCCAAGTTTGCTTTTGTTTCCATCTCTCAGGGCCTGAGGCAGTGAGGTGTCCTTGATTGCCAGGCCTGGAGAAGAATTGTTGTGTCTGCCCAAAATGGGAAAGCAGCAGCTCACACTGTGTGTGGAGTTTGGAGTTATACACTAAAGAACTGCAGGATTACAAACACATGAAAATATAAAAGCTGAAATCCTAAGGCATCAGTGCTGGCTGAGGGATCTGCAGTTCTGGTCCCAGCTCCTGGGGATGTGATCTGTGTCCTCATCTCCTGGAAATAAAACCAGTGAGATCTGAGTGTGGTGGCTTTGTCACTGTGCAGGACATCAGGATATCCCCCTGCCTGAACTAACCATGTGCTCTTTCATAGAGATTTTTTTACCATTCTCATAAAAAAAAAAAAAAAATTCTCTTTTCCTCTTCCCCCATCCCATGGAACAGAAATTCCCTGTTTATACCCCTATGGAGCAGATTGTTCCGAGTTTTGGGCTTTCTGACAAAGGTTTGATGTGTCCCAGCAGGGACAGCTCTCCAGGAGGGAAGTGCAGGTAAATAAAATGAGAATTGGGCAAACATTCACACGAGCTCTTGTGAGTGTCACATCCCAAAAACGCTCCCTGGATTTGCTGTGTGATGCCTCCAGAAGCCTTCCCAGCACAGCATCCCCGCAGTGATGCAGCAGAGGGGCTTCTTGGTTGTTTTTATGGAATTAAATGCAGAGATTCCACCTGGGTGCTTCATAAATACAATCCAGCTGCAAATATTATTGGTGGATCCCTGGTAGAGCAGGAAGGTGAAATCTCTTCACCAGCAGGGAAAGCACAAAGCTGCAGGTGAGGACTGTGGGCACCACATCCACCAGCACCCCTGGAGCTACATTCACCCATGAGAAATAGGCTTAAAAATCAGGTTTATTTTTACAAGTGGATCATTTTGGGCATCTCTGCTTTACAAACCAGATGCAAACATGGGCTTGGCTTTGCCTTCCCCACATGAAATGTGTTTTCTTTAGGGGCTGCCTCCACTCATGATAAATAGGGTTAAAAATAAGGTTTATTTTTAAAAATATATAATTTTGAGCATCTTTCCTTTACAACAGGCTTGGCTTTGCCTTCCCCATATGAAATGTGTTTTCTTTAGGGGCTGCCTCCACTCCAAGTCAGTTTGTGGAAGGAGGTGCAGGAGGATGAAGGATTTCCTGCAGATCTTAAAAGCTGGTTTATGATCTGACCCTGCCCCTTCCCTCTGCTCTGCCCCTTGTCCCCTCAGGGGCACACAGAGCTCTCCTTGTGTGCCCAAGCATTCCAAACCCAAACGGAGCTCTGGCTGTGGAAAAACAAACACAAACAGATACAAGTCTGTTCCGTTTCTTTTTGAGTTGGTGCTGCAATGAGCAAGTCATCCATGCAGTGTAAAATTCTTGACTGTGGGTGTTTTTGTCGGGCTGGAGACAAAGGTTTTGCCAGGAAATATTGACAAATAGTAAGCAAATTTTTCATCCCTTGCAGCAAAACTGTCCAGTGGTAAAACCTCGTGGTAAAACTTTTGCAGCGGTTTTCCTCTGTTGGTGGCTGGAACCGAAAAGGCAAATCCAGGAGCATCTTCTGGATGCAATGGAATGTTGAGAAAACAATCTTTTAAGTCGATGACAACAAGAGGCCAGTCTCTTAGTGTCATTGTTAAGTCAGAAATGACACACAGTCGGTCAGAAGGCTGAGTGGCATAAACACACTGTCTTTACGGAAACCACTTATTTTATAAACTGGTCCGATACAGGTGGACCTGATTGGTTATTTAATCAATACAATTCCCCTGATTGGCTAATTAACAAGACACCCCATTTGTAAACAATCTTATGAGAATAACAGGAAAACAGGTATTGGAAAAACACCACCTGCAGGTTGTTTTTAATATTGGCTATCATTGTTTATCTCCAGCTCCCTAAAGCTTCCCAGGCTGATTCTGGGAAAATTTATTTAGCTTTCTCTCTCTCTGACCAGCCTATCACATGCACAGCTTGGAATCTTTGAAAGAGAGGGAACTCCAGGCTGCACAGGCCCCATGTGCTCTGTGGTCTCGTTGATGTTCTTCAGCCATCATCAGCATCCGTGCAGCCATCTCCAGGAATCAGAAATCTTCTTATGGATGACAAAAACTGGGAAAAGCTGGGCCTGGGGTGCTGCTGGAGCCTGGAGGCCACTGAGGCCTGGCAATGCCACCCCCGTGTGCCCTCTGGGGACTCCACATTTTAGAAGGCTGCTCTGCTCAAAGGGACACAGCCTTGGCTGGACATAGAATGCTGGACACGGATTTGAGTTATTTTGTGGTGCTTTTTCTGTGACTCCTTCCTGGCAGCAATTCCAGCTGGAATTCCCCCTTGGAAGGGTCATCAGAGCATCTCCCACCAGGAGAGGCTGGGACCAGGCCCTGTCTCTTGTCCCCAGAGCAGGGAAGAATTCCAGCCCTGTGTGAGCTGCTCCTCAAGAAAAGCTGAGATGGAGGGTGGGGCAGCCATTGGGAATAAATTCAACAATAAATTAATAAATAAAATATATAAACAGGCCAATAATAAATAAAAATAAATATAATATCATTATATAATATATAGAATATGTGTGATATAATATTTTCTATATTAATATAAATATATGTTAATATAATATAATGGATATAATAGATATAATACACATACTATAATATTATTGAAATATTTTAATATTTTATATTTTAAAATAATATAAATCTATACATATTAATATTATAAATATAGATAAATATAAGTATGTCAAATAAAATAAATAAAAATAAATATAAATATATGTCTTGGTTTAGGGAAAATTTGGGAGGAAACTTTTGAAGTGGGTTTCTTTAGAAAATAAATTCAAGCTGGCTCTCCTCTAACTGGTTCTTCCTCCTTTGCTCCCAGAACCAGGCTTAAAGGTTAAACTTAATATCCAGCACAAACAGAACAGACTGGGGATACAAGCATCATAAAGTCACCCTGAGACAATATAATAACGCATTTTGATACATATATTTACTATGTTATCTAAATAGACATAAATATAAAAATACAAAAAAAATCTATGCAAAAAAAAAAAGTAAATAAATATAAAATCTGTGGGGGATTTGGGGGAGATTTGGGGAGGATTGGGGGGTTCAGGGGGATTTGAG